GACGATGTGCGCGCGGCAGCATTCCTGCGGCCACTGGATCTCACCGCGGCAGGGACATCGCGAAACGCGCGACTCCGGCGATGACGCAAGCGTCCGCGGGCGTCGCTCTCGCGATAACCTTTCCTCGTGAAGGAAGCCGCGTGGCGCGATCGCCTGTTCTCTTCGCGAGGTCGGCGGCGCGCAGGTTCCACAGCCGATGACGTGCACGGGGCTCTCCTTCGGGTCGCAAAACTTTCCTTCACCCGGCTGCCGCAGCGAGGAGGGCGGTTTCTTTTTCTCTTGCCCGCAAGGTCAGTTCGTCCTCGTCGCTTTGCAGGTGTCCTCTTGACGTCAAAAACGAGCGAAAAATACGACTGGAGGAGGTTTTTTTTCCGCCACGAGGAAACTATCTCTCTAGTTCCGCTGCGCGTGCAGCTGTGCGATTTAGCCGCGATATAAGGGAATATAATTAGGAGCGCCCAAGTTAGCTGCTGCCGCCTTCAGACGTCTGCGTACGCAATTTGCTTACGTGGCCACAAGAGAGCCAGATATACGTTGCCCATTGGATTAGTTGTACCTTTAGCACAGTCAGTATATGCCCAGGCTTTACTTGAACGTGCTGCGTTTCGACTCACTTTTGTGAAGGCAATACGATGTATGACGGGTGGTTCGACGTGAAGCGTTACAGAACCAACGTCAAAAGTGTTAGTTTTCACGTTGGTCTCAATCAGCGACAGAATCGTCTAAAACAAGGCAGGACACGGCACTCCATTGCAGCACGTGCGGATGCATGCCGCATCGAGTCGGCAGACGTCAAGTCATAGAAAGATAAGCCAAGCGCGGCTGATAGCCGACGCTTTCGCGATTAAACTAAGGGGCGACAAATGTGTGTCGGTGAAACGTCCACGAAGAAGAGAAGAAAGTAACTATCTGTCGATTAACAGGTTTACACTTTGCATCGGGACGAACCGGGCTTAAAAGTTGACGTGACTTGTCACCCCTCCCCACTCGCACTTTTTCATCTTTTATATTGCGCTGAAGCAATAAAAAGTGTCTTCGCACTTTGTCTTTTCTTGTTCGCGCTGTTTTGTCATTTACCATATTATATATTTTTTTTCGATGTGAATTACAACCAACATACTAATTGTAGAGCCTCCGATTTAGTTTTTTTTTTTTCGGTGCAAAGATAATGTCGCATTCGGACAATGTCTCTCGAAGCCAGGCACGCGCTGCAGGTCAGCATCGCGTTGAGCCGAGCAGCAGAAAAAAAAAATCACAGCAAATCCACGAGGTGAATGATGACGAGTGGGGTGAAGCGGACGGACGGACGCTTAGCCCACTCATCATCACTCACTCCGTGGATATGCTGTGACAGCGTTTTTAAGACATGCAATGCAAAGACACTGGCTACTACGACGACACGAGACATGTCAAACAGTTGGCGCGAGACGCATGCCGATGCGTGACATCGCGTTACTAAGAAATGCTCCGCAAAGGAAATATTCCTCGAGCCTCAAGTGCAGTGTTTACTTTTATGCAACTTGTTTTAGCCAGTGGGCCAAGAACGAACAAGATGTACCCTGCGCATAAGAGTAATTGAGCTGATTAATAAGCCTTCACAAGAGCACTGCTACAATATTCGAGGGGGGTCCTTTGACGTGCCGTGTTCAAGAAGCGACGTAGTACAGCGTTTCTTTGCTGTCAATGAATATTACTCAATTCTAATTTCGCTCTGAGCCTAAGATCTGATTCTTCTTGCGGGACATGACTAACGAATAAGCATATAAGCATTTCCTTAATTACACGTAAGTTCGATTGCGGCCGCGTAGGTCGATGGTGGCGAGGCCGTGTGCCTTAAAAGCACATTGCCGGATATAGTCGAAATTTCCGGAGCCCTCAGCTACGGCGTCTCCCATAATCATGGACGTAAACCCGCAGACAATAATTAATTATTCATTGCATGCTAATTGCGAAGAATTAATGAAATTTACAAAATAACTTCTACTTACTTTTATTAGTGCCTTCAAGTAATGTTGTGTAATTTAAAATATTGCCGGAATAAACTGATGCGCGCTTACATTCATTTTCAAGATGGCGAAAGCAAGTATTGAGCTCGCGTGGTCGCACCCACGACCTCTGTTCACCCAGAATTCACAGTATACCTCCTACGCCAATAAGAAGAAAAGAAAAGAAAGAAGCACGTATTTGTACAAGCGGTGCTCGAGTATGTATGCATTGGGTGCAATTAAACGAATGGAACATGCAATGCCGTGCATATCTTAAGGGCTCAAGCTTTCTTTTCATCACACAAGCGAATAACTTCAGTTGGATTGCGCGAATACTTCATTACACTAAACTTTACTGAACATCCGTATGAAGACAATTAAAACAACAACATTCTTATCTGTTTTAACTACGTCCGTTAATTTTGCATTGAGCATTCTGTTCGCATTTCGATCGGGTCAGCATCTCGGATGCTGACCCGATCGACAGACGCAGGTTGGATCTTGATTCGTGAATTCTCAGAAATTGTAATATAATTATACTACATGCCCACGTACGTCATAAATTTTTATATACTAATTTTCGTTTATGTGCGCTCCTGAAAAGGTTATATGTATTATGTTTATCTTTATTATTTTCTTCTTCTATACTTTACTTTGTTGATTGTGTACGTGTATGCTCCTCCACGCTGTATCTGGCCAGCGGAGCTCACAGCTCTTACGTTGAAAATAAACTTTTGATCAACTGGAATTACCCGCGCGGGTCCGAATGGAGACTTTTTGTATCGTTTGACCACGTCAACGAAGATTCACAATTTACGACTTTTCACACACCACACACACACACACCACACACACACACACACACACACACACACACACACACACACACCACACACACACGCGCGCGCGCGCGCGCGCGCGCGCACGCACGCACACACACGCACACACACACACACACCACGCACGCACACAACACACGCACACACACACGCACACACACACACACACACCACGCACGCACACACACACGCACACACACGCACACACACACGCACACACACACACGCACACACACACACGCACACACACACACGCACACACACACACACACACACACACACACACACACACACACACACACAATCAGTTCGAGCATCAGAGAAGCACGATCAAGGATCGAATTCCCTGATTCTCTTGATGCATGTCGGTCTTGCACGCTCATTACATTTCCCTACTGCACAAGTTTAATTGCCAAATAATTGAGCATCACAGCCACGTACGAGCGCATTCGTGGTGCGTAAGTACATAGCGTCCATCACGAGCATTTTTCTCGCTTCTCTGTAGTTGCTTGATATATCGAGTGCACTAGGCGAAAAAAAAAAAGTAGGAAAATACACAGTGCCGCCGGCAGCGGGATCATTCTTCGCATTCCACGCTTTCCGGGGATATTGCGGCGAGGGTTGGCAGCATTAATATACGGGCGGCTGGCATAACGCAGTGTATTGACTCCGCGGTGCTGACGAATATTGAACGAATAAAAAGAAAATGCAATATCTGAAATGAGTGCTGAAGGGAAAAAAAAGGCCCATATGAACGAACCAAGGCTTGCTTTTGTCGCTCAAATTTAATTAAAATGCCCGTTCATTCAGCGCGTTCGACGAACAAAGTGCAGAACAAAATTATTAGAGAGACGGACTAGGCCGGGGGGTTAACCAGATATGAGCATCTGGTTCCCAGCATAAAAAAGGCTGCAGAGAGGGAGAAAAACGGTCTCGAGCACAATATATATACAATATTGACTGTTCGGAACTCCACAGGGTTCAACATAATAATCATTTGTAGGTCAACCAATTAACTCCCGTAAACAATCGTTAGCAGCATCGAAATGGGACGTGCTGGTGAGCATAAGCAGCCGCTCGGACATGGCGCGAGTGGTTGGCGCATGCGCAATCACAAAACAGCTGTATGGCACGATTGCGGAGAGCCGCCAGGTGAGATGAGAAAGGAAATTTCATTTAAGGCGTTCACTACCTCCTCCTTTTGTTTTTGGTCCGAATGGCTGCTCGATCGTATAACCTTTCTCAGTCACGCCGAAAAGAAGGGCACAGAGGCGTGCTCTGACGACCGCGTTCTGCAAAGCGTGCGTAGCGAAGGACGATTGCGAGCTACGTTCACTGTCAGTGTGGTTAAACAATGACATTTCTTTCTCCCGGTCATAAATAGAGGTCACTTCCGTCTTCTTTGAAGCTGTTTACATTTGTTAAAAAAATATTGTGCCTATAATTACTATATTGGAGGCACAAACCTATCTTTTACCTGCCTAATTTGGGCGCCTACAAGGCGCCTTTTTAGTGTCTAAAAATTCGGCATATGTATGACGAGGAGAAAGAATGAGGCGTATTTTTGAAACAAGTGTTTTTCCTTCGCCCAAAGTGGGATTCAAGGGACGTACTTTCCATTGCTAAATTTTTTAACGATCTAGCGAGGAAAATGACTTCCATTTTTCATTGACGACAGCCGAGTGTATTCCATTGACGCACGGAATTACGCGCGGTCGGCGCGCAAGCTGGGAATACCGAAACTCGTTTGCGATTTCAGTACTCGAGCCAGCCGCGGCTCTTCACTAAAAACTTGAACTAAACGGTTAACTTTTAAATTTAGTTAGCTATTTAAGCGATATCTTCTAATAATTTAAAGCACGATTATTTTTTTACACAAGCTTGAAAGTGAAATAAAATAACTCATATTTCGTTCATAGGTGGCGCAAAACTAGTCAAGTGCCATTTTTGTTGTGTTATAGTCTTCGTTGTGAAGTTGCTCTAATTCGAAAACAATTAGGCACTGAAGTTGTATGCAGCAGTACGCATCACATAGTTTCTTTTTGTGTGTGTACCTTAAACTAAAATGTGCGTTGCGTTTTTTTTTTTTTTTCTGTCGAGTGGTTTTTTTAAGCATACCGCGAGGTGTCGCCACGGCGGCGCAAACAAAATTAAGAAAACTGCCGCGCCGCGGCAAACTGCAGTATTTGGCTGGTGCTGTGGTGTGTGTTCAGCGTCGTCGACGCCGCAGCTCGACGCTATGACGAACGAGACGACATCCGCCTCGCCGACAGCTAACGGCACGGCGACGTCGGAGCTGTACCCTCCGCCGGCGCGAGTTCGAGACAGAGCGTATGTGCGAAGCATGACCGAGTACGAAGAGATGTACCAGAGGTCCCTGCGAGACCCGGAAGGTTTCTGGAAGGCCATCGCGCAGGACTTCTACTGGAAGCACCCGCCCAAACCGGGCAAGTTCTTCGACTACAACATCGACGTGCGCAAGGGCCCCGTGCACATCCGCTGGATGGAAGGCGCCAAGACGAACATCTCCTACAACTTGCTTGACAGAAATGTTGAGCGAGGTCTGGGCGCCACCGTCGCCTACTACTGGTAATGTCGGACCGCTTCTGTATTGCATTGCGCGGCGCACGATCGAGCCGTTCCGCACCTTTTCGCTTTAATCATTGCTGCTTGTCTTCGCTCAACACAGAGCGAACTACTTCGCGCACAAGTAGTCTTTTGCGATACCTCTTTGACGTTGCAATACAGAACAGGACAAGTATGGTTTCGTCGCTAAAGAACGCGTGCTGATGGCAAGTACAACACGAATAAGAAATGTCGATTGTCATGGCTCCGTCTTTTTCTTTTTCGTCGAGTTCTTCCAGCCTGGGCGTGCTTCTGCAGTAGCTATGGGTAGCAACTCGCTGCACGTGCTGTCGTCGATTGTTCTGCGAAACAATCGTCACGCGGCTGTGACACCACTCGTGCTGGGATCGATTTCCTTCGGCTTATGCTCGTCTGGCGCGTGTTTCCAACGCAATCAATCATGGCATCTTCCATTACGCATTTTAGGAACGATCGAGCAGAGCTACTTGCGCAGTGAGCTACTAAATTAACGGAATACAGCGCCGTAGAAGTATGCGCGCGGACTTAATTAGCTGGGGCCCATCCCGGAGGAAACGTGGGGGAAAGGAAAGTGCCTCGAAGTGCTGCGGAAGTTAATGCCACAGTGTGTGGCTGAGTGAACATTTACCTATTTTTCGTTCTCGGTGAACATCGATGGTTACTCTGTGCATAAAAAAGAAAAAAAAAAAGATGTCATTACATGCCGATTTCCTCAATCGTGGACTCCGTTGTTGCATACGTATGTGCTGTACGTACTACGTCTTAATCAACCGTCTTAAACGAGCTACAGTGCACACAGGTGTGGCAAAGTGAAGAAGAAAGCGGACTCGGCGTCTGTGTGTGCGGTAATCCTTTTGAGACGTGTCACCCTCTTTGTGAACTTGATCGACCGAGCTATAGCGGTGCAAAGTGTGGGCTTTTCTGCCTCTCGTTTCTGTGTACACATCCTGCGCGCGTTGGCACTATGTGATTGTCGAGCTTCGACCACGTCTACGTGCTTGTAAAGAACAGCGCCAATGAAAAAAAAAATCAAAGAAGCCTTCGACTGTAGCGCTTCCTGTCACGTGTGTGTAATAACATAGTACGTGTGTCCCCCCTCGACCGAGAGCGGTTTGTCAGTCGCAGCTGTCGTTCACTGGCGTCAAAGAGCGCTCGCCATTTTTCCTCTTGTGTTTTATTTTGTATCTGCCAGTGCTCTAAGCGGTCAACGGCAGGCAGGCGACGATGTGTAACGCAGTCGATACGTGATTATCATTCCGAAAGCGTGCTTCACCGTCAGCAATGTGACTACGCCGTGAAGCCTGCTTGTCGGTCACAGTCATGGCATCGATCAGCTTGGGTTGGCTATTGGCAACATTCGCAATTCTGTCTTTCTTTTCGACCTTTATTTTTTTTGACGCTAGGAAATTAGCATCAGCGGCGATGGCTACGTTTGTATATTCAACTTTCGTAAACAGGGGTGGGCGCTGGAACCGATGTTTCGACAAGTGCAACTGCAAAGGGGGAGAGTAGAATGAGAGGTCAGAAGGAAGAAGGTAATCCGAGAAGAAAACCATGTGTGGGGGGTGAACGCATCGATGAATAATAGTTATTGGAAGAAAGCCCTACACTTAGCAATGGTAAGTTAGAAATTTCTAGAAGAAGAACTGAACTCTCATTCGTATCTGTTGTGTATGCACCGTAACGCATAAACTCGAGAGTGCCTTTTGAAACGTTTATACTGGCTGGTTGGAGTGTAGTAAACTTGCGAATAAGGTACTATTGTATATTTTCTATGATTCAAGTGACAGATGAGTTAAAGCCTCGAAAAAGACAAGTCCAGTTGTCGAAACGTCAGCTCCGTGTTGACTAATTTCTCATTCCATCTTCCCCTTCTTGCTTTTTTCTTGTTTATACTGGTTGTGGCCTAAAGAGAGCGAGATATATTGCTTATTAGAAGAACTTCTTTGTAAGCTCTCGATGTGTAACCAATCACTTTGGTGAAGGCAGCACAATGGGTCATTAGAACAGACACCCTAAGTGCTGCTCTTCTTTTCTCGAATGGAATGATACCAAAAATTGATTTCGCATTCTTCTGGAGTCTATGATTCAATTCTTTGTGTATCCAGATGAAACATGACATTCTGCAGATAACTGAATGTGTATTGATATACTAGTTACAATTAACTACTGAAACTAGCACAAAAGAACACATTGTTTTATTTTATTTCTTAGAATGCAATACTTTGTGCCTTGTGTTTATTCTATGTGCATTTTACCCACTCAGGGGTGCTATTCTGGACACTAATTCCGCCATATTGTAAAATTTCATAATGGTGGTATTTTAAGCCAATCGGAGAGGTCCTAGCAGCTCACTTGGCCAATTAGCATCGATCAATGGCGGAATTCGACAATGTCCAGAATAGCACCCTAGGTGCGTTATAATTTGTGCCTGAAGGGGATATGTTTTGTTGTAGTACCTAGAATATAATATTCCAGGCATCATAGTTCTCTTTGAAAGTGCGGGACACTAAATGCATCGATCACTTTGCGTCTTAATTGCTTCCCAAGCAGACCCCACTCCAGTGGTATATGGTTTGTCTGGCACATTTAAGTGATGTCATTTATTTTTAACGTACATGAGCATGTCCCCCCCTCCAATTGAATTTGTGTACTGTACTTGTGTTTCGCACCTTGTCGGTTTGTGGTTCGTTAGATTGTTGTCTGCTGCATTGGTCCTAACATTTTAAGATTTCAGACTTTCATTAAATTCTACAAATGAATAGTTGAAAAACATGTCAGTTCCCTTTTTGCAGTTTACACACTGAGACTTGTAAAACTGTCCGGGCAGATCAGATCATTCTTCTGTAACACGTTCAAAATACATGGCCCCATTTTTCTTCATCACGTCATACATCTCTAATTCGCTAGAGGAACAAAACAGAGTATTATTAATATTATTATTATTATTAATTGCTCTGACCAGTTATTTCTTCATAAGCTAGCTCACGGAATGATAACCTGTCCTTTATTTCTCAGTTGTATTAATTTTACAATTCCCTGTAAGTTAATAAGTTAAGCAGAGAGAACTGACCGTTTCATCTACCTGCCAACATCTTTCAGCACTCTACCATTCAAAGAATACAAAGTCACTATAATGTTAACTTTCTTGATGTTTTTTATAGTCCATATTCATTGCTTTAATGTGATTTGCACTGTCTTACTATAGATTTTCACAATGTATAAATTCTTCCTTTTTCCGTCTTTCAGGAAGCCTTCTGCATATTCACATTACTTTTCACTCTCATTCTATTTTTCTTGCCTTGTCTTTTTATTCTTCCCATTTTACATTGATCTCTCTTTGTCTGCGTGTATTTGCTCTTTTTATTTGTTTTCTTTATCTAAAGACTGCCTCTATTGTATTGTTTTGTTTTTGCATGCACCTGCATAAAACCTTATGGTTGTTCCTAGACATGTTAAATGATTGTTTGATTATTAATATTATTGCTATTAATAGTTGTAGCTGTAACAGCAGTTGTTGCAGTAACGGAGTTTTATTTTAGCTCCTGTGGCGGCTAATTGGCAGCTATATGCGTCTGCCAAAGTGGATAAATAGTTACCGTGCTCGGCTGCTGTCCTGAATGTCGCATGTTTCGATCCCGGCTACGGCAGTCGCATTCTGATGAAAGCAAAATTCTAGAGGCTCGCCTACTGTGCAACCTCGGGTGGTCAGAACCAATCGTGTATCACCCACCAAAGTGGCTGAGGCGCGCCTTAATTCAAGGACATGGGTTCAGCTTTCTCCTGCGTCTCAATGGGAGCCTGTGCACTTGCAACATTTAGGTCCAAGATTATTAAGCTCAACATGGCTTCCTAATTTGGTATTATCTCGTCTTAATCATAAATCTAATATAATAACACCAAGCATGGTATTGCACCCATAGTTAAATTAACCAGAGAAAAAATGAAGCTTTGTCTTAAAAATGTTTTTAAACAGTGTAGTGGTCATTCTAGGTAACCTAAGGAAAAAAGAAGTTGCACAGAAATTCATGCATTTACCATTTAAGTGCCTTAACCTGGGCGCATACATTGAATTGTTGTCATACTCGGAAGCATGCGATAGATGTTCACTCTCTTACAGCGAGGCAGACTGATTATGTGATGTGTTGCAGTGACAATGGCAATAACCTACCAGATGAATTAATAACATTTTAATACATGATGGGATTAATGAGCAACTATTTGCATTAAAGTTCCTTCACATGGCCTGTGGTTGGAGAATGTGAAGCAGTGCTCAATATTTTGCATTATTATCAATTACATTGTTTTTTAAATAAACCACATAATCAACTTTGGAATCTCAGATGAGAGCTTTTTCTTCACCAAGAGAGTTTATGTAGATGCGAGTAACTTAGAACATGTGTTATCACACTTAAATACTGTTGTTGTAGTTTAAAGTTTATGTTTTTACAAATTGGTACAACCTGTCCATCGTGCAGGGAGGGCAATGACCCAGAGGATTGCAGCATAGTCACCTACCAACAACTGCTAGATGGTGTCTGCCAGTTTGCCAATGTGCTCAAGAGTCTAGGTGAGGGCATTTTCATTCCCATAGCACTGTTCACTCTTCTATCATGTTTTACAACGCACAATCTCTTCGTATTCCACAGCTGGTTGTGGAACCAGCTTTGTGTCAACAAAGCACAGCATTAATTTGCATCAGCAGCCTTAACATGCACTTCTTTTCTCTCTTCACCCACATTTTTTGCACAATTTCCTTGATGATGGAATGCCAACACGCACAACAGTTTATTCTTAAATTGCTGCAAGCATGCACTGACAAGGGGCACTGCATCCGCAAAGTGGGTTGCGAGAAATGCTTGACACCGAATCCTGCATAATAGCAGAGGGACACCTGTACCAATGGCAAGGTCTCCAACTCGCTCGGACTCTTTGGCTGGCACTTGATCGTGTATAGCTTAATGCCATGTTGGCTTGCAGTAGTGACATGTTGCATTTCGAAGCAATAATCAGATGTAGCCATCTGCATAATGTATATCAGGGGCCAGAGAGGGGGGTGACCTCCTCACTATTACAACCCCTCGAAATTGCAGGGGGAGGCCTTGGCTGTGACTGTGGAACATGGTGTTGATGAAATGACACCTCTGTAAAGAATCTGACAGCAGGCGAGTGTGTGTGGCTTGGCTTGGCTCCTTTGACAGCAGCGACCTGGTACTTAACGTCACATTGGTCTCGTATGTTTGTCAATGAAGTTGTAAAGGAAACGCCGCCTGTATGAATGTGGTACAGCTAAACAGTTTGTACTTTGTTGTAGTCGTTCAATTGAGAATGTATCCTCGTCAATAATGCACAGAAAATTGAGCAGGCTTTCGCCTGCTTTGTCCGGTGTTTCAAGTTTTTCTGTGCGCCGCCTGCTATCTCTAGCTTTTTGCTCACATGCCTCAGCTGACCCAGAAAAGTACTGTTTTGATACCTCGACCAAAATTAATCTTGCTTCAAATATTATTTTTTTCCCCTGAAGAATCTAGGTGCAGTTTTGTTGTGCTTTTAGGATTAGGTGGACTATTTAATATTGTCATGAAACTTCCTTTGTTGCAGATTTGCCTACTTCTGAAAAAAAAATTACCTCCCAAGGTCATTACAAATGGTGGTGGGAACAAAATGCATATATACACCCACACATATAATACATGCATGCATGCATGCATATATTCATACATACATATATACATACATTCATGCATCCGTACACATGTACATTCATGGCAAAACAAATACAGTTAGTAATAGTTCTATACAGTGGACTTTCTAAGGTATTCACAAGTGGAAGTTGTCCAAGTCTATATAGAACCAGGATTATGTCCCCGGTTTGTCAACATTTAATATTAGCAGTATAGATATCTGTCTTTTATATTTATCTTCATATTGCCTGATGGTACTTCTGACAAATAGTAGTACTAAACTTAAAATTTTTAAATCTGCACAGGAACTTTCCCTTTAGTACAATTTGCAACTTTTGCCTGTAGTGGTTGCTCCTTTGGCAACATGGCAGGCAGGTATTGTTGCTTGCAGCATGAACCTTGCTCTTGTGGGTATTTGTGACTTGTCACATGCATATATTTGCACTGTGCAGGCCTCAAAAAAGAAGATACAGTTGCCCTGTACATGCCCATGATCCCAGAGTTGGTCATTGCCATGCTGGCCTGTGCACGAATTGGAGCTATTCATTCTGTTGTGGTATGTGTGCCCATTGCAACATTGATGGTATTGTGTCCATATGTGAGAAAGCCACTTTACAATGACGCACGCACTTGTTCTCTGTCCTAGGTTGTATTGAAATTGTTTGCGCCTTCTCGAACGTCCATTTTATCTAACAAAACTACATTGTTTGCACAATGTGAATGATGAAAGATGATCTTGAAGGTACACAATCGCCAGCTGTTCTGCTGGAATGTACTGCAAGTTGCGCATAAAGAGCCGATGAGTGTGTTCGCTACCATCGTGTTACTATGAGTGCTGTTTGCTTTGCTGGGCGCAAGCAGACCCTTTCAATCTTTACTTGTCAACATTCTTTATCATGAGACAATATACAATGTTTCCATAAAAAAAAACTTTAATAAATTGTAGTTTTGAGTACATTCAAGCTCACTGAGTGAGTACAACGAAGGACTGCAAGTTTGGCATTCGATGAATAGTCGAATCTAGATAATTCGAACTCAAAGGGGCCCGAAAATTTGTTCAAATTAAAAGAAGTTTGAATTAATGAAAGCTAAATAAACAGAGGGCTCTCCATGCAGTGGCGCATGTACATTAAGCTAACACACGAGGGGGATAGTTATAGCGCGAGAACAGAACGACGACACAGAGATAAGATCCTTCGTGTCCTTCTTGTCTCTGTGTTGTCGTTCTGTTCTCGCGCTATAACTATCGCCACACGGAGAGAAGCAGATCGGCATTTGAGAGAAAACCAAGACTCCACTGCAGCCTTTATTTTTATTTTATTTTTGCTCTCCGCGTGCGTCGTTGTAAGGAGAAGGGTTACGTGGCAGGGACGAGAAAAAGGGAAGCATGGCACCGGCGCGTGAGAGATCCCCCCCACCCTCAAGGCACAGAGCCGTGCTCCTGCAAGGGGCAGGGGCTGCAGAAGATAGTGCCTGATGAAGGCCAGACTCTAGGCTGAAACGTCGAAATAAACCACGTTGTGACCGCTCGCAGAGGATCTACTGGACTATATGCAACGCTACGGCCACTCAACCACCATGCCTGCCTATATATATATATATATATATATATATATATATATATATATATATATATATATATATATATTAAAATAGAGGTGTTGTACGTCGAGAAAGGTTCAGACGCAGCTTGGCAAAATGAGCTTTAACAGGCAGGTCTGGCTAATGGCGAACGGCGTGCGCGAGCTACTACTGCAGCCACCGATCATCATCGTCTTCTTCGTTGCCAGCAGAGCGTCCGTTACTCAGATTCATTAATTCATTACAATTACTCCCCGCGAAATAAGGAGCCATCCTGGCGACCTATGGACAAGTAAACACGGGAGGGTCATAGCAGGGCTTAAGTCTCGAGACGTGGACAATTTCCTGGCCACGACGACGTTGGTCAGAAGATGGTTCCAGTGGCTCGATGAGGTAATTCACCGGGGACGTTTTTTGTAGCACACGATATGGGCCGTGATACTTGGGGACCAACTTGGTAGAAAGGCCAGGTGTAGCAGAGGGAACATGCAGCCAGACGAGTGAACCTGGATCGTAGGAAGTGGTGTTATTTGATGCGTCATGGTGGTGCTTTTGGCGTCCTTGGTCTTGGGTTGTGAATGCTCTTGCCAGTTGGCGGCATTCCTCAGCGTATGTAGCGGCTTGAGACAAAGTCGTGGACTCTGAGGAGTCAGGTTTGTACGAAAGAATGGTGTCCATAGTGCAAGAAGGTTCGCGTCCGTAAAGGAGGAAAAAAGGAGAGAACCCTGTAGTGCTTTGAATGGCGGTATTATAAGCGAACGTGATAAACGGGAGCACTCGGTCCCAATTGGAGTGGTCTGACGAGATATACATAGACAGCATGTCACCAAGGGTGCGGTTGAAGCGCTCTGTCATTCCATTGGTCTGAGGATGATAGGCGCTTGTAGTGCGGTGAACGACGTGGCACTCACGCAGCAATGCTGTGATGACGTCTGACAAGAATACGCGACCACGATCGCTCAGTAACTCCCGAGGTGCTCCATGACGTAATACGATGTTGTGAAGAACGAAAGTCGCAACGTCTTTTGCTGTAGACGAGGGAAGGGATAAAGTTTCGGCATACCGCGTGAGATGGTCGACGGCAACTATGATCCAGCGGTTACCATCAGCAGTGTTGGGAAGGGGACCATAGATATCGATGCCGACGCGGTCGAATGGTCGAGATGGGCATGGTAAGGGTAGCAAGGTACCGCTGGCGTGACAAGGGGGAGTTTTTCGTCTCTGGCACGTCGAGCAGGCTCGAACGTATTGTCGTATAAAACGGTACATGCCACGCCAGTAATATCGGAGACGTATGCGAGAATAAGTCTTCAGGAAACCTGCGTGGCCACATTGGGGGTCGTCATGAAACGTGGAACAAATTTCGGATCGCAGATGACGTGGAATCACGAGTAGCCACTGACGTCCACCGGGTGCGTAGTTGCGTCGGTACAGCACGTCGTCGCGAGTGGCGAAGTGCTCCACTTGCCGACGCAACGTGCGAGAAGGGGGGGAAGCCGTCCGCCCAGCCAGGATGTCTAGAATCGAAGCAACCCAAGGGTCCTTGCGTTGCTCAGATGGCATGTCGGCGATGGTGACGCCAGTGGCATCACAGGTTATACTTTCGCAGCAGTCCGGGTCAGGGGGTAGAGGCGAACGGGATAGGGCGTCTGCGTCCGAATGTTTCCGGCCGGAGCGATAGACCACGCGAATATTATATTCTTGGAGGCGTAATGCCCATCGGGCGAGGCGACCGCTTGGATCCTTCAATGACGACAACCAGCAGAGGGCGTGGTGGTCAGTCACGACGTCAAAAGGGCGCCCGTACACGTAAGGTCGAAATTTTTCTATCGCCCAAATAATGGCGAGGCATTCCTTTTCGGTGACAGAATAGTTGCTTTCGGCTTTGCTAAGAGTTCGGCTTGCGTAGGCAACCACGTACTCTTGGAAGCCGTCTTTTTTCTGTGCAAGAATAGCGCCTAGCCCGACACCACTAGCGTCGGTGTGGATCTCTGTGGGTGCCGATGGGTCGTAGTGTCGCAGAATAGGCGGCGACGTGAGGAGGCGGCGCAGTTCATTGAAAGAGTCGTCACAGGTGGCAGACCAGGCTGAAAGGCCTCTGGAGCCGGCGAGGAGCTTGGTCAAAGGAGCGATGATCGTCGCGAAATTGCGGACGAAGCGCCGGAAGTAAGAGCAAAGGCCTATGAAGCTTCGGAGCTCTTTCATGGTGGTCGGTTTGGGAAACGCTGAAACGGCTGTAAGTTTGGCAGGGTCAGGAAGAATGCCGTCTTTCGAAACCACGTGGCCAAGGATCGTAAGCTTTCGAGCGGCGAAATTGCACTTCTTCAGATTCAGTTGCAGCCCCGCGGCAGATATACACGCGAGGACTTTCTCGAGGCGGGTTAAATGGGTTGCAAAATCAGTTGAAAATACGACAATATCGTCTAAATAACAAAGGCAAACGTTCCACTTGAGGCCTCGAAGGATAGAGTCCATCATCCGCTCGAAAGTAGCTGGCGCGTTGCAGAGGCCGAAGGGCATCACTGTGAATTCGTAAAGCCCGTCGGGTGTGATGAAAGCAGTTTTTTCACGATCGGCCTCTGCCATGGGTACCTGCCAGTATCCAGAGCGGAGATCTAAAGAAGAGAAAAATTCGGCTCCCTGTAGGCAGTCCAAGGCATCGTCAATGCGTGGCAGCGGATAGACATCCTTGCGCGTGATTCGGTTGAGACGCCGGTAGTCCACGCAAAACCTGATGGATCCGTCCTTCTTCTTCACCAACACAACTGGAGAGGCCCAGGGACTGCTTGACGGTTCGATTATGCCACGTGTCAGCATGTCGTCAACCTGTTCATTGATGGCACGGCGTTCGGTAGTTGACACACGATATGGACGCTGCCGTAATGGCGTCTCTTGACCGGTATCTATACGGTGTACAACAGATGACGCTCGACCTAAGGAAGGCTGATTGTGGTCAAACGAGGCTCGAAAACGCTGTAGGAGCTTGATCAGCTGTTTCTGCTGCCCAGGCGTGAGGTTACAATCGATGGACTTGTGGAATACATCCATAGGTTCATTAGCGTCAGTTGCGGGTGTAATGGCACAAGTCGGTAGAAATGGCTTGTCTGGATAGATCGGTTCTTCGAAAATACAATTTAAGGTCTCGAGGCTTCCCAGACACTCACCGCGTAGCAGGATGTACGGGCAAGCAGAAACGTTGCACGCATAAAGTACCGCCGAACCATTGGAAAAGTTGATGACGGCAAACGGGAGGACGATGGTTCGGTGTTGCACACTAGATATAGTTGGTTGGAACAGGAACGTCGAGTTAGTGGCAGCAGGGGAAAACACAGGCACTAGGACGGCGGACAACGGCGCGATGTGGACGTCAGCTGCGGCAAACACTTTCGAGGGACTGTGGTGGTCGATATCAAGGCACGGATTCGTCAACGTGAGTTCAGCACGAGCGCAGTCGACGAGAGCCTGATGGGTAGAAAGAAAATCCCATCCTAGTATCACGTCGTAAGATGAACGTGGGAGAACAACAAAGTTGACGGCGTACCAAACATCTTGAATAAGAACGCGTGCTGTGCACTGAGCTGTCGGCGCGATGAAATGGGAGGTGGCTGTACGCAGAGCAAGATTCGTAAGCGGCGTTGTAACTTTTCTCAAATCGCGACACAGTTTTTCACTAATTACAGAAACGACGGCGCCTGTGTCGACAAGTGCACGTACAGCAACACCTTCTACTAGCACATCAATTTCGTTGGACGGACAAAGAGGAGGTCTTAGAAAGTTTGACGACGACGCAGTTCTTGCCTCCGGAACTGCGGCTGTCAGTTTTCCTCTCGAGCGGGGCTCGTGCGCCGAAGCATCGGGGAGACAGATCGGCGACGGGGTGGTAATGACCGGCGAGAATCGACGGGGCGTCGTGGGGACAATGAGTCGGTGATAGGAGAAGATGGTCGCCGGGGATTCTGGGCAGCCTGGTAATTTGCAGAATTCCCATGGTCTGGAGGCTGGAAGTTGCGACGGCGACAGTAGCGTGCTATATGTCCCACGAAACCGCATGCGAAACAGATGGGTCGATTATCCAAGGTGCGCCATGGGTTAACGACAGAAGGTGCAGGGGGCGAAACGGGATTGGGTGCCGTGTATGTAGGCAGCGTCGTAGGGTAGGAGGACCCGGTGCCCCGGTATGCACCAGAGACAGGTGGGGCTGGGGGTCTAGCAACGACGGCAGCGTAGGTCAGCGGCGTAGGGACAGGTGGCGATGGAGGCAGTGCTTGCGCGACCTGTGTCTCAATGACCTGGCGTAGACGTGGGTCTAACGAGGTCACTGGCACGGATGCTTCGGCCACAAGAGAAAGCTGACGCGCAACTTCCTCACGAATGAATTGTTTGATTTGGGGGAGTAAGACGGTCTGATCAGCAGCGACGTCGTGTACGAGGGCGGAAACTTGAGCCGTATCTTCTGCGGCCCTGCGCGTCGAGACACGCTGCTTACGCAACTCGTCGTACTCCTGACAGAGGTGGACAACATCGGTGATGGTCTGTGGATTCCTAGCGACGAGCATCTGGAAGGTATCGTCGTCAACTCCTTTGATGATGTGCTTGATTTTGTCGCGTTCGGTTAGAGATTCATCGACGCGCTTGCAAAGGGACAAGACATCTTCAATGTAACTCGTAAAGGTCTCGTCCCTGCGCTGGACTCGACTACGGAGACGCTGTTCCGCGCGAAGCCGGCGCACGGCGGGACGGCCGAAGACCGCGGAGATGGTGGTCTTGAAGGCGGACCAGTTGGTAATTTCGCCTTGGTGGTTCTTGAACCAGAGGCTGGCCACATCAGCTAGGTAAAAGCGCACGTTTGTGAGCTGGTCGCAGGCGTTCCACTTGTTGGAAGCGCTTACGATTTCGTACTCGACGAGCCAGTCCTCGACGTCTTGTTCATCGTTGCCGCGAAAAATTGGTGGGTCACGTTGCCGAGGCGCGCCAGTACAGTAGACTGTCGTTGGTGAGGCAGCTTGAGAAGGGCCAGGAGCAGTCATGGTAAACGGTGAGGGTAGCGTCCGATTGCGAAGTTCCAGGTTGATGGGAACCCCGGCTCCTCCACCACTTAAAATAGAGGTGTTGTACGTCGAGAAAGGTTCAGACGCAGCTTGGCAAAATGAGCTTTAACAGGCAGGTCTGGCTAATGGCGAACGGCGTGCGCGAGCTACTACTGCAGCCACCGATCATCATCGTCTTCTTCGTTGCCAGCAGAGCGTCCGTTACTCAGATTCATTAATTCATTACAATATATATATATATATATATTGCTGTTTGCACGGCGACTGAGGGCCAGAACATCCTCGACATACAAGTGTATGACTCATGTGCAAGTTGAAGACGCACAGCCAACTTCTGTTTTTTGCAGTTTTGGAATACCCCGATGAGCATCCGAAGATTTTTTGCAGTTTGTTGGAAAAGGTCAATCAATCGATGAAGTCAGCTTCGTGATTGAAATACCAGGTTTCGGCTACGCTGATCAAGTAGAAAGGGAGGTAGCTCAATTTCTCCACTTCGGTCCATCGACTGGCTGAACCCTCATGGTTGTAAAAGTCGACCCATTCCTCGACGTCGTCACCGCGGAGACCTGCGAACATGGCAGTTCGTGCTGAGAGCTGGTGATAGTAAATGAAGAGCGGGCAGCCACATCCAACGTCTGCATTCCTGTGTAGGTGGCTGGGTGCAAGCGGTGACCAGATCAGAGCTTCAGGTGGAAAATGAACGTAGAAGGACATTGGGATCTTGACCCAGCACCTTCACCACGCTTAAAGACACAGGCAGACTTCACCAGACAGGAGAAGCAGAAGCGTTTATTCCGCGATGTATCCCTCAGCTCAGAACACCGACGAGAGGAAAAAATGATAATGGCTATGTACAAGTGAAAACGATGAAGTGCTTGAAATGCGCTTAAAAAAAATTATATATATATATTGCCACGTTCCATTTCCCAAGTTCTTGTTATCGTCCCAAAACACCACACGATTCTCAGCGCAAACCGCGCCTGCAGTTTTCGAGAAGGTTCCGGGCTGTTGTAGATCATTTCGATAAGATCACGCCCACTGTGCGAACGGTACAGATTGTTCTAGAACAATCTGTACCGGCATTTTATACTCTTGCCGTCGGCATTTTATACTCTTGCCGTCGAATGTTCTAGCGTTATCGCTGGCGGTGGCGTAGGTTCTAGAACAATCTGTACCGTTCGCACAGTGGGCGTGATCTTATCGAAATGATCTACAACAGCCCGGAACCTTCTCGAAAACTGCAGGCGCGGTTCGCGCTGAGAATCGTGTGGTGTTTTGGGACGATAATAAGAACTGGGGAAATGGAACGTGGCAATATATAATTAGCTTTGTGCATCTTAGAAATTGAAGGTATGGAGACAAAAAATTATTCTTTTGTAACAAAAGGTCAAAGCAATAAGTGTCATAATACTGTATGTTTCGGGAAAAGGGGACATGAAACCAGTGCAATACGTATAACTGTATGTGCACGGCATGTACGTGTGCAGCAGCACATAAAAATGTGCATGTTTTGTGTGTAAGCTGCCCAAATGGGCAGTCATTTAGGCAAAACGAACATTGGCACTTTCTGAAAGTCCCGCTTTTTTTTTTTCTTTTGTTATGCCTTGCATCTCGCGCCATTGAGGTTTTGTTAATGTCCTGCACTCTGTTATGCATGTGTGGTGATGCTTGAAGCAAGGCATAGATGCAGCCTAATCGGTGGTTGTAATCCAGCCGTCACTGCCAATAATAATCGATAGCACAGTAATTATGGTCATGATGAAATTTTAGTATTGCAGGTCGTAGAGCCAGCTTCAGTTTATTTTGTTAATCATGGCAGGCTATCCCAGCAGTGGTGTCTGGATTTTTCATGCATTTCATGGAAGCTGTGCTCTTGATGAGGCTGTTGAATATTTTATTTCAATTACATTTTCTTTGTGTTATCAATGATGTATTGACAACTGAAGTTGCAATGCCATGACTGCAGAAATATTTCTAGTTTGCAGGCTTCTCATCAGATTCTTTGGCTGAGAGGCTGAAGGATGCCAAGTGCAAGATTGTCATCACAGCTGGTGAGTAGGTGGATCTCTATTAGCTTCAACCAGTAGAGTACTTCTGTGCAGCATCGGTGTCTACTGCTTGGAATTCATACGCAGCAATTAACTGCATCTGGTAACAGTGCAAGATTGTATTTAAATGCAAAAAAGGAAATTTATATTGGACTCGTCACTTGCCTTTCAGGCTTTCAGTCAGGCTATTCATAACAAAACTTTCAGGTTGTGTAGTAAAGCTCGTTTTCTTTTTTGTCTAATTGATTGATTTTTGGACTGCATAGTGTTACTGTACAGGATTTTAGTGGCCTTTGTTGACATGGCATTGAATTTGCCTTAATCTTACTAATGCTTTATTCCAAGCATATTTCTGGCATGGGGTCGGATAGCTTTTTTTTTTTTGAGTTCTCTTAGAAATACATTTCCAAGGGTGCCTAATGATTTAGTGATTTGTCCCCATTATCTGAAATATAATTGAAGCTTTAGTACCAAGGCCCAGGATAATTTTTGCTTTAGGATTGCGTGTTCTCAGTGCCAGTTAATCACTCATCTTTGTTCCTTCATGGGCATTCTTGCCACATTCCTTGATTAATCTTCATGTGAATATTTGTTGAATCGAAACCTTATCAGCAAATGTTCCTTTTCACATACACAGCTTTGTGGTGAAGGTAGCATATTACATTTGCATTTTGATTTGCAGATGGTGTCTGGCGTGGGCCAAAGCTCATCAACCTCAAGGAGATAGTGGACCATGCTGTCAGCAAGGCCAAGGAACAGTAAGCATCTTTTATGCTTACTTCCTGCTGTTCATAAAGTGCACTGTCTGAGGGTTTCTACTGTGGGTAAAAAAAAATGCAGTGGAAAAAGAATCACTGTCATGTGTTGTTCAGAAACTGAAATGTGCTCAACTAAAGGAGTGGCTGTGGTAGTGCTTTCCAGTGAATGCAAAGCATGTGAACCAAGGCTCTGTAAAACTGAAAGGGGAAGGCATGCTGCGCTGCATTAAGTAGTACAGTCGAATCTCAACAATTCGAACTCGAAGGGGCCTGAAAATTTGTACGATTAAAAGAAGTTCAAATTAATGAAAGCTAAATAAACAGAAGGCTCTCCATGCAGTGGTGCATGTGCATTGAGCTAATGCACGAGGGGGACGTTTAAGAAGACTAACATTTGTTCACAAATCACAGGACATCTGTTATTAATTGAAGTAATCGGTGATGTGCGTCTGTACACGTTTGCCTTGCAGCGAGTCAATCAATTTCGCACACATCTTGCAAAGCATTTCTACTTCGGCTTCAGAATTCTCCTGGCAAGAGAAGTTGCGCGCCGAAATGTTCAGCATCGACACTTTCTAAAGACGACACCAACAAAGACTGCGTAGCGGAGGCAGCCGCAGCATGGCTAGCACGTGACAAGAAAGGAGGAGCACGCGGAGAGAAGCAGATCGGCATTTGAGAGAAAACCAACACTCCACGGTGGCGTTATTTTAATTTTTTTGTATCGTCGCACGCGTCGTTGAAAGGAGAAGGGTTACATAGCAGGGACGGGAAAGGGGAAGCGTGGCACCGGCGCGTGAGAGACCCCCCCCCCCTCAAGGCGCAGAGCCGTGTTCCCGTAAGGAGCAAGGGCTGCAGAAGATAGTGCCTATGATAGTGCCTTTTTGTTTTCCTTCAACCACACATTCATTAAACCCAGCGACATCTTTCTTTCTTTTTTTTACTCTCTCTTCGCACGTGGCGTGGCGTTGAAAAGAGAATGGTCTTTATGTGGCAGGAACGGAAAAGGGAGAAGCGTGACACGGGTGCGTCGCAGAGTTGCATTTGAGAGAGATCAAACATTCAACTGCAGCCTTTCCTTCCTTTTCATTTCCTTCGCCTGCAGTGTTGAGGTGTCGCAGGTGCCGCTGCGGGATTGAGCAGAGTGCCGAGAGCATTTTTGCAGCGTGGTATGTTCGAATTAACCGTCGCAAGTGCTTGCAGCGTTCAAATTACCGGGCGTTTTAGCCCATTGGAATACACATAGCTTTGACGGGACCTCATCGCGAGTTTGAATTAACTGGAAGTTCGAATTATGCGTGTTCGAATTGATGAGATTCGACTGTACCACAATTCCTAACGAGACATATTGAGCTGCATTGTGGAAGGCATTACCTGGGCATTCTCAGTCGAATTCATTGTTTTTTACCCTTTGAATCTTCATGCACCTCGCGTGATGTTGCGCTATCTTTGGAATCGGAGCACTCTAAACCACAGAGTTTTTTAAACTTAAATAGAGGGGACTTTGGCGCTGCGATTGTTCAGCGGCCATGGAAATGATGGGTAGTTCATAGATTTGCCTAGTTTTTGTGCTTGCAGGCTCCGGACGCAGTTATGGCTTCATTCAATGTTGTGTTTCGTTTTGTATAAAAGAACAAACCATTTTGAACTTCATGACCGGATTTGAATTGGCGAGCCTAAAATATTACGGTGGTGAAGCATAACTGATAAACTATTGCTCATTGTTGTCTCATGACAAAGCAGCTTTAAGTCACGCAAAGCTAAGGAAATCTTAAAGTACAGAGCTTAGACAAATCATTATACTACCCATCATTTCCATGTTCGCTGACGTGCCATGTGTTGCAGCTCTCGTAGACACTAGTGCCAGAGTTCCCTCTAGTGTATTTATAGGAAACTCTCTGCCCTAACCTTGTTGCAATGTCATATAACAATGTCTTCATATGACATCATTGTGATTGATGTTGCAAGTTCTGTGTCATTCTTTGCATCATGATGACGTCGGAACAAGCCATTCTGTCTCTATAAACTGCTCGCTCGGAGAAGGTCAAGTGGGTTTTTGTGCGAGTTCCTTTCACCTGTTACGTTTCTTTCTAGGTGGTCGTGCAACGAGACACTTGAGGCTTACCCCTTTCAAAAAAGATGTGTTCTTTGAGCACTTGTGTGCTTTAGCACTAAAGTGCATTCGTATCAGCAGAGCTAGTCTGGCCTCAATTTGTGCCGACCGTGTGCCAAAAACAATGTGGACACTGTCAGTTGAGCACCTCTTGTAGATATCTCTCGGTCTCGGCAGTTAACCCCCCTCTCCTCCTGCTTTAATTCTCAGAGGTCACGAAGTGAAGCAGACCATTGTGGTGCGGCATCTGACGTCCCAGAAAGTTCGTCGCAAGGACACTGGCAAGCGGCCCTTCTCTGGGCTGCAGGTGGCCTGGAATTCAGAGCAGGATTCTGGTGGCACGAGCTCATGGCCGACCAGCCCACGACCTGCGCCCCTGAGTGGCTCGACGCCGAGGCACCCCTGTTCCTGCTGTACACCAGGTGTGTGGACATCTCCTTCCGAAACTCAAGCAATCTCATCCAAAGGCACAGTACTGATTTAAAGGGACTCTAAAGGGCAAAATGATTTTTTATGCTTTGATGTACATTTTCACAATCCCGAAAACACCACTCTTACTGTGACACGACGCTAGTAAGCAAGAAAACGTGCAAAAAGAAAGTGAGGCTGGTGACACCACCTCGAGATTCCCGGACCTAACACTCTGACGTAAGAAATTTTAATGGCGTCTACTGGGTCCTACACAGCTTTCAATCAATAAAAGTAAAGCACATTGTAATATGTAGGGTGTCATAGACTTAGCATACGAATTTTTAGAAAATTTTATCAATCCAACACCATGAAAATACTCGAAAATATATTTTGTAATTTCCTAATTGATTTTCTCCACTAATAATCAATTTATGATGGTATTTCAGAGTGCACTTTGTCAATATAAACCAAGCCATTGTTTCTCTTTAGTGCACCTCAGGGGGACACTGCACCTAAAAACTTGTTCTAAAATTTCTTTATAGATTTCAGTAAAACTTGCGAAGTCTATGTATATTTGTTTGCTGATTTCAAAAATGCAATTTTTTTTACTACAACGTGTAGTTTTTAAATTTCTGGTGCCATTTCAGGAGATATAATTTCATTTGCCTATAACAAGCGCATTCAGGAGGTATAATTTGCACAATAAACAAGCGCATAAGAACGACCTGGAATAAGTACGGAATGCACGAGAACGAGAATGGATTAATATGTACTGATGGGCTAGTTCGTGAGGAATGATCTTTTAATGAAGCAGTGCACAGAAAGAACACACGCACACATAAAGGACACAAACACAAGCGCTGTGATTGTGTCCTTTTTTTGTGCTGGTTCATCGAAAAAATGGATGTTCCAAGTCCATTTGAACAAATGTTGTGGTATGTTGAATATTTGTTGCAGCAATCTGAGTTTGACGTAGATTAATTTGTGAATGTTCGACATACCACAACTTTTGTTAAGATGCATTTAGAACATTCGTTCTTGATTTCTTGCATTCTGTACTCATTCCAGGTCATTATGACTGTGCTTGTTTACTTTGTAATTCTCATGAGCTTAGGTTTACTATGGCTCACAAAAAGCACGTGAAATAATATTTTAAAAACATGTTATACTACAAAAATGATTGCATATTTTGTTTCCCTACACACATACAAAGCTCAGCGAGTCTCATATCGATTGATAGAGAAAAAAAGACAATTTCAGGGCTCGTAACTGCATGCAGTATATGTAGCTGAACCGCATATCTACTGGGTTTGCGCATGTATTAAGGCGAAAAAAAAAAAAAAAAGCTCTAGTGCAGGACAAATAGCCAAGTAAAAAAAAAGCAGCATATTTGGATTGGGATGTACTGTTCCAGTGGATCGACGGGAAAACCCAAAGGCATTGTGCACACCGTGGGTGGCTACATGCTGTTCACTGCAACCACCTTCAAGTACGTCTTCGACTACCACCCAGGCGATGTTTACTTCTGCACAGCTGACATTGGCTGGATTACCGGCCACTCGTACGTCTTGTATGGTGTCCTTGCCAACGGTGCCACCAGTGTCATGGTAAGTGCACGTGCCACTGAGTAGAAATTAAAACAAGCATTTTCTCTCGTGGTCACCTATATAAAATAAATATTCAAATAATGTTATTCTTACTTCACTAGGTTGTATCTAACAAAGAGACAAGTCTTTTAATATTCCCTTTTCTTTTAACATTCCCTTTTCTTTCACTTATAAGTAATTTAGTTATGCGTAATGGCCATGTGGTTGCCAGTTTCTCCAAGAGAGGCTGTTGGGACTAAAGACATCAGTGATGCTTTTTATACAGGGTGTGAAATAATCCCTCGTCCAGCCAACATTGTTCACAGATGCAAGTGCTTCCGTAACCTGTCGAGCCTTTTGCGACTTAATTATTTATTTCTGCTTACTGCAGCCCATGATGACTACAGTAGCAACAACATTGCATGTCGATTGCAGACAAAAAAGAAAATCTGTCTTTGGCAAAGCACGGACAGACCCGGCCAAAACATCTCCAACGTTCAGTTTTTGGAGAAAAGTAGCTGTATTTTTACATATTAATTTTAAATTCAGGAGGAAAAGAAGGGAAATTAAACAAGCACAGGGAGATTGAGAAGTATTCATTGAAGTAGGTACACTGTGGGGAATGAATTAAGGCATGCAGAATTTTAAGCTTTTGTTGTGGCGACATGTTGCAAGAGTGGTCAATTTGAGATTTGAAGAATTATAAGGAGGTGAAAAGTTCTTATCATAATGATAGTAGATAAAATGAATAGCTCAGTCTTGTTAATATTATTTTTTTTATGAAATGGCTTTCAAAGTATAGATGCATATTCAAGTACTGATATGTGTGTGTGTGTGCAGTTTGAGGGGGTTCCCTTCTTCCCGGATGCCAGCCGCTACTGGGCCATCGTGGAGAAGTATAAGGTCACTCAATTTTACACAGCACCCACTGCCATACGAGCCCTCATGAAGTATGGTGACGCTTTTGTTCGCAAGTGAGTCTGTGCCATCACCTCATTGCATGCTATTCTGTTGCTGGCCATTCACAGGTAAATTTTTTATGTGTCAGGAAATTTCGAGAAAAGTGAGCTGCCAAGTTTGCTGTTGTGCTGCAAAAACATTGTTACGTCATGATTACTTATGCGCGTATATCGAGCAGGCCAAACTTGTAGATTATTCACTTGCTTTCAAGTATGTCAATATTTTGTGAATAAAAGCTTTTAAAAGCTGGCACACTAATAACAACTTTATTCTGCGAAACAGAATGAATTTACTGGTGCATTCAGTTTGAGTGAGCTGTGGCTGGAGCCATAAAGGTTTCTAATAATACACTAGAGGAAGCTTCGGTGCTAGTGTCTATAGGCTGCAGTGCATGACGCTTCAGCTGGCATGAGAATAGTGAGTTTTCATGGATTTGTGTAAACCTTGTTTATTATGTTCACGCTGGTCAATTTAACACAGCACACAGGAATTCAGGACAACCCCATAACGACATCGCTGTCTTAATCATTTTGGCACCCATGCCAGAGGTACCTTTTTATACCCATAACATTACCCTGGTTGTAAAGGTATCGTCCCAGTGCTTGTTATGGTTAGAAGGGCGTGTCACTGTTGCAGGGCTTCAGGCGAGAAATGTACGCACTGTAAGTTCTGGCTATAACAGTCGATGAGTTCATAGTCGGGGAAATCTCATAGGTGACAGGTGTCACCTTGTGCACAACTCGATAGGGCCCAACGTATCGCGATAAAAGTTTTCACAGGGGCCAACACGATGGGATAAGAGCCATAGTAGCACAAGAGAGCCCGAAGAAAAATCGGCATCCCAATATCCGCAGCCGTAGAGTAACTTTTGTGCAGTCTAGGATGACAAGGACTGTGTGCGGGCTACTGTTTGTGCGATAAGAGCACAGGAAATGGAACCCTGAGTGTACGAAGTGGTTTTAAAGTAGTAAGGGATCATGGCCAAAGAGAAGATAAAATGATGAGTAGCTGGCAGTTTCATGGTGTCACGAGTTGTTGGCGAAGGTCGTTGTCCGATGTGAGGGCAATGTCCCAATCGGTGTGGTCGTCATAAACGTACATGGAAAGCATCTCAGTCAGTTGAGTTGTTTGGTAAGTCCATTTGTCTGAGGATGATAAGAAGTCGTAAAGTTGTGTCAAGTAGCACAAGATCAAAGTAGGTTGTCAACCACACAAGACAGGAAACAGCCACCATGGTCCTTGAGTGTGGAGAAACGTCACCCTGAAGGATGATGTCGTAGAGAAGAAAATCTGCAACGTTCGTCGCACAGCTGATGGGTAGTGCTCAAGCAATTACATACTGAGTGGCATAATTTGTTGCTACTATCATCTATTTGTTTCCTGTTGCCGAAGTTCTGAAGGGACCTAGCCAGTCCAACCCTACTCGATGAAATGACTCTACTGGAACTTCAGTAGGTTGAAGGCGACCAGCAGGGAGCCGTACGCTTCTTTCGGCGCCCTGCTGTCTCGAATCACAAGTCTCGAATCTTAAAGAAGGAAAAGCGATGGTTTTACAAAACCAGAAGCCAGAGCTCATGTATTCAGTCATTTTGGTGAGCTTGAAGAGAGCTTGTTGAGTTGCAGCTGCAGTGCATGAGGTAATGTGTTGGACACAATATTGAATGACACACATTTCCCTGGACAGTTATGCCAGGGAAAGTATAGGGTAAAGAAAGAAAAATGGACGAAAAAAGGTAACTTGCCTCTGTCAGGTACCGAACCTGCGACCTTTGAGCAATGCATCCGATGCTCTACCAGCTGAGCTACTGTGGTCTGTTAGCAAAAAGTTGTTGTCCACATTTATTACTTCACATTTACACTACATTCACATGGCATCATTGTCTGTTAGTTCTCATGTAATATTGTGTCTAACAAAAAAATGAACCCCTTCCTACATGGTAATGTGGTGATGTATTTGTGCTGCGCAGGCATGACAGAAAATCGCTGCGCATTCTGGGGACTGTTGGTGAGCCCATCAATCCAGAGGCCTGGCTGTGGTACCATAAGGTGGTCGGGAATGGGAACTGTGCTATTGTGGACACCTTCTGGCAGACAGAGACAGTAAGCCCTCATGTTTTTTTATCGGTACTACCACTCACGTAAAACACCGAACACGCCATTTTAGTATAGCATGCATACTCGGAATACTTCTGCCCATTCGAAAACAGTTCTGTGGGTAGCCTGCACAGTGGAGGAAGGTTAATGTAAAGGGGAACTCGGCAGATTCTATTTTCAGAGGAAATCAATGGAGGCAAAAATGCTAAGGCTCTTGTGCTTAGATTAGGTACACATTGAGGAACCCCCAGGTGGTTGAAATCTCCATTTACCTTTCCCCTGTGCAGGGTAGTAATCTGGAAATTTTCTTCTGGTTAACCTCCCTGCCTTTCACCCAACCTTATTCTCTTTCTCTCTCTAAATTCTTAAAGGAGTTGCTCAAAAGCTTTGGAGATGGCGGTACAAGACTTTTTGCTCTTAGCGCTTACCGAAAAAAAAGGTGCAGTTGCATTAGGAATGAGGAGTGACTTCGAATATTTTTCGCACGGTGTTTTTTATTATGTTCACTCTGAAATCTTACTATTTGGACTATTCAAACTTCCTAAAGACGAATACAGTCAACGTATGATTAGAAGTAATCCCTTCAGATTTTTAATGTGCTTCACTTTATCACATTTGTATTGTGACAAAGCTGCATTTGAAGCTCTGCCACGGTCACAAATGCCACAGCCACGGTCACTCAAGAAAACACTAGTTCCAACATGGAGACGATAGATGTGGCAGAGGTGGGGGTACAATTAATAGTATTTTGGACCTGGGGTTTTGACAAGAAGTTCGAAAAATCGGACGCTGAAAATTTTTAGCACCCACAATTTCAAGTGTGCTGCTTCATGGACGTCTATGAGGCACACTGGGAACTCCGGACAAGAAGGGAGCCCACCCTTGTCCACCACAGAAGTGGAAAGAGGAAAAAATGCCGAGTAAACAGCATTCTTGCCTTTAACGTGTGTCGGGAACACTTTGGTTACAACAAATCATGCACTATTTTTAAATGAAACCCGAACAGCGGCAAGCCTTTTTGATAATATAGTGCGTGCCGTCCACTTATTACCATGGACAGGCACGCATTATGTGCAGAGCTGCCGAACAGGATGCGCATGCCTGTCAATCATATAATAACTGGACGGCGCGCACTATACCATCGCGAAGGCTTGCCACTGTTTGGGTTTCATTTGACGCTGATAGAACATAAATAAAATTCAACCTCTGCGTTGCCTCGATTCTTGATAAGACGACTACGAAACATTACCCTACCGGCGCTTCATTAGCATAGCCGATTCGGTTCTCACTCACCCTTTAATTTGCTATTCGCACAGCTCTACACGAGGACTGGGTTGTGCTCGAATTGCAGGCCAATTGATGAAAAGTGCAAATGTGAAGAGTGGGCTCATATGCACTGTAAGTATTGTAACAATTGAGAAAAAGAGACAGTGCCCGTATGCTGGGCCGGCTGTTCTTTATCCAACTTCATTCTCCTTGTCTTCCGCTAGCCGAGGATGCACGAGCACAGGTGGTGTCTGCTTTAAGGCAGCGTTTTCGACGACTGCGCCATTGTAACGATTAAGAAACAGAACGCCCGTACGCTGGACTGGCTGTTTTTAATTGAACTTTGTTCTTCTTGTCTTCTGCTAACCCAACGCGCGCCAATGCTTGCAGCGCTGATCTTGCTCCGTTACAGTCGACCACGCTGCGACATTGCAAGGCTAGCTGTGAAATCGCCTCGGGAGGCCGGCAGTGGCCGTGGCGTGTCGGTTGGTCTTGGCCATACAATGACTTGGCTCGATGAGGTGTCAAAGATGCCTCTGGTGGTTGGCCTTAGCTGTTACGTGGCGGACGGTTCCGGATGTGCCTGAGTGATCTCTCTTGTGCATGCCGAGATTCCTCAAGTGTCGAAATCTCGGATGGCCGACACTGACTGGCTCGTTGCTGCCGGAGGTCTTGGCCACGCTTGACATAACATGGGAAGAAGTAGCACATAAGACTAGCAGCTGGCACATTTACCGCGTCTTCGAGACAAGCTTCCGCCCTGCCGCGTCATGAATGGCCACTATTTTAGCATCGTGCACGTGTGACGCAAGCGTCTACCGCTATGGTCATTGGGTGTGTGGTCGTTGGGTGCAAGAGGGCAAAATTCAGGTGCCAGTGGCTTGTCTTTGATGTCTATAGGCGGGTTGGTAACTCCAGCCTCCGTCAAGGTGACATCGTTTAGCAGGATGGAAACCTCACTGCAAATGCATTTTGGAACCCGTCTGCAAGATGCTGGAGCTGTCGAATGCTGAGTCAAGGCTGTGACTACCTTGTTGCGGATGACATTGTCCTGAGGTGGGACGGTACTTGGCAAGTGCTGAGCATCCGCACGCTCAGCCAATGGTTGCGGCTATGGTCTGGCTGATTGCGAGGGAGCTGATGCCGTTTCACTGTAGGCAGACGCGTCCAAGCACTCACGCGCGGGCCAGCTTAGAGGCAGGCTGACCAGCTGCTTTGACTTCATGTTGTTTCGTTCTGGGTCATGTCCTGTCTGGAAGTCGTGAAGCAAAGTTTGGGTCCTCGGCCACGAAACCCACCTTGCTACCTTTATCGTTGTCTGACACTGGCTGTTCCGCAAAGCTTGCCGTAAAGGTGCTATAAGACACAGGTGGATCATCATGACCAAGCCCCTCAGGAACACGGTATCTAAGAGAAAGTATGTTGGTACAGGGTGCAGCTGTACCATCAGCACGGCACCCTTCACGATCTTGGTCATCGAAAGAGGGGAAGGTAGTAGAGGCCTGAGCTGTCCCGCCGTGATTTTGTGCCTCACTTTCTATGAGCGGTGCACAGAGGGTCGGTAGCGAAGGCGCTGCAGACTCATGAAAGTGGCCGAAAAGCAGTAGTCAATCGGGCACATCATTCAGGCCAAGAATGTTGTTGGATGCCTTCGTAGCCGTGCCATGCCTTAGCAGCACCGCGAAGGCTGTCGATGGCAATTAGCCATTTTCGACATTCAGGTCGGGCATGAAGGGTGATGAGCTTGTTCACGATCTCAATTCACCCGAAGACATCGTCCTGTACGCCGCAAAACGTCGGTACTGCCCAAACAATTGACGATGGTAAAGCGACAGGTTTGACGCCGAAGTGCGCCGACGCCAAGCAGCCCAGTTGGTCGAACAGCTCCGCGAGAGAAAGCTGGAGCTTGCGGCGGTTCTCGGGTGAGCTGGCCTCAAAGTCGTATGAGGTGGCTACACCCAACATGGTATCGATGGAGCACAACTCGGGCGAAATCTCGGGAAAGAGCACCAAAGTCGGTGCTTTCAAGGCGTTTACTGTAACGTGGAGTTGTGCTATCGTACGGGAAATTTTGGCGGCGCTGTCTGGTGATCCACATCAATAGGGAAGGCTGGCATCTGCGGAGGAAACGTCTCCGGTGCTCACGAAGGCACAACTGATAGCCAAGGATGAATGGACGGCAGCTGGGGGGTGGCTGATGGGATGATAGAATCCAGTTCCTCGTAGACGGGAACATTAGCTGCGTTCCCAGATGAAAGAAGCCTGGACGGTGCCTTGGCGGAAACTGGTGTCACGGCACCGATTGAATAAAAGTGGAGCCGCTGAGGAGGCCCGGACACCGTCTCCGTATGGCGTTTGCAATGCCGGAAGGTATGACGTGACGAGGAGGCATAGACACTGTTCCTGTACTGTGCTTGGCGTGGTAGTTGGCATACGGGTTCCATGGCCGAGGAAGTGTGCACGTCTTTCCTTGTATGGCAGCTCTGGAACGCCGAGGACGCACGAGCACAGGTGGTGTAGACTTTAATGCAGCCTTGTCGACGACTGCGCCATTGTAACGATTAAGAAACAGAGAGAATGGCCGTACGCTGGACTGGCTGTTTTTAATCCAACTTTGTTCTCCTTGTCTTCTGCTAACCCAGCACGCGCCAATGCATGTAGCGCCGATCTTTCTCCCTTACAGCTATGTATGTCCATCACTGCAAGCACTACTTTAGAATATTTAGATCAGATGGGATGAACAATCTGACAAGCTCTCTTATGTCAGTAGACAAGTGACATTATTGAAATGATTGTCGATGTGAGCATTTTCTCAGCATCTTATTTTTACAGTGAAAGCTGTTATGAGACCACAACTCAGGTTTGCGCAGTGACGTAGTTGTCTGCCGTCGCTGGTGTTCGTATTCACATCACGCGAAATTAGCAAAAAAAAAAAAAAAAAAGGTAGTACTAATGACACAGTGGGGCTCGAAACTGAGTCCGCCAGGTGCCAGCCCAGTATTCTAATCACTGAGCCATGCCAGGTGCTTGGGGCTTTTTGCCTTAGGCTGGCTTGATGTCGGGAAAGCAATCGCATTAATACAACTTATAAAGCTTTTTAAAATAGGGAAAGAACAAGCAATCGTTGAACAATGCAAATAGCGTAACAAGTGTGTCGTCCAATGCTCCAACCCATTACAAAAGCTTGGTTTTGTTCAGCTATTAACTGCGGCACATACCCACTTCAGGCATAATTCCTTATCAGCATCAGCCACTGCATGAACAATTGGCACAAAACTTTTTGCTATAGTTTAGAGGATACCAAGCTTCTCAGAAGAATTACAAAAAATAGCATAGTGGATGCTGATGTACTACCCTAAAATTTTTATTATTAATCCTGTAGTGGGTACCCAGGAAGTGTTCTTGCAGCAGTTACCCAACAAGTGTTTAGAAAAGGCACTGAAATGCCCTTTTTCTAGCTTTCGCTGTGACTGTGCTTCGCCTTCCACGTAGGCCTGGCATTTTTTGTCCACAGCTGCAGTTATGCTCATTCATTACATTCATGCATAAGTGTTGTAAACTGTCTTGTGCTTTTTTTTTTCTAGGGAGGTCATGTGTTGACACCTTTACCAGGAGCCACACCAACAAAGCCCGGTTCTGCGGTAAGCTAGGTCACTATAGAAACACAGGGCTGGCAACTGAATTGTATATTTTGAGCAGTGCACCACTAATTGTGTCGTGGTAACTTGTTGTTACCAGTCACACACTTTCTCAGTTCACCTCTTGGTCTTGTGCGAGTCATGAAGGAAGGTTTCTTTTTTGCTACACAGTTTTCTATTTAAACGAGCCAACACAAATTAAGAGATGCATTAAACCGCACTTTGCCCCGCATCGTTTCGCACTAACATGGCGAATGTAATCATTTATAATACTGACTACACTTGGCAATAGGTGGCTCAATAAGAAAGTGTTTGTAATTTAGAAGTCACCATCACGGTAGCCCAGTGGATAGAGCCTCGCACAACTGCTGAGCACAAAGGAGTGGTTTGCTTCCTGGCCAGGGCTACTGCGCTTTGAGTTCTTCATTCGCATATTTCTCAGAACTGCCCATACGATCAATGCATGAGAATCTCGGCATGGCACAGGGAAGCTATTCTTTATGTATCCACCTAATAGAAATATCCAATTTGGCGAGTCATGACGTCGTAGTGCTCTTGACCACATCAATGCACCGAACCTGCCAACATATTCCCAGTGTAAAAAGGAACTGGATGAAATGTGCAGTAACAAGACATTTAAAATCTAGACAAGACTGAACTTGCACATGAACGTGTTCAGATGTTTCGGAACGATGCAGGAAATGCGTACCGACCTTCCAGTGAATCAGGCGAGCAGCCACATTAAGCCTTCTTAATTAAAAGGCGGAGTTCTTGCACAGCCTCCAAGATATGCATCGAAGACCGGATCTCTAGAGACAGCATTAGTTGCGATGAGTGTCAAGAGTCAACAAGGTGGATGCATCGATAATCGTACCGCTGGTTCGAGTGTTGACAATTTGCTGATCTCTATTATCTGTTGACCTCCTTTGGTGTCACTTTTTGTTTGAGCGACTGCATGTTTTGTGAGATGGTATTGGAGGTATGCATTGCATGCCCTTCTCCATGGTGCAGACGTTCCCCTTCTTTGGTGTGGAGCCTGCGATTGTTGATGAGCAGGGCAAGGAGCAGGAAGGAGAGGCTGAGGGCTACCTGGTAAGTTGACCTTGAGGTGCATTGCGGTCGTCGTGCCTGTTTGCATGCGGAACATTCTTAAAAATGTTACTGGGGGCTTTGGTTGCATTTCCATGTTGCTTTTCAATGAGGACGAAATACAAGGACATGTGCTTAGATTTAGGTGTATGTTAAAGACATTGATCTGAAGTACTTCATTATGGCTTGCTTGGTAGTCTTATCTTGCTTCTGACACATGAGAGCACAGCAATTATTATTATTATATTATCATCATCATCATCATCATTAAAGATGTCCTATCCTGCCTGATGAGCCATGTGGCGGGCTCAACATTAGAGGTCCGGAATTTCGATCCAGCCATTGATACATGCTTATCGTATTTATGTTCATCCAGTGTATGCGTTACGCTGACATAACCTACGTGCATGCAAGTGTGTTTGTGTCATCATTCTTGGTTGCTGATTTTAGGCCCTTTTAGCTTGCCGATTCTGCGGTCGGTTCCCGTCCCGCTCAAATGCTCAACAGTACCACAGCGCAGCATTTATTTATCTATTTATCTATTTTATTTATTTATTTATTTATTTATTTATTTATTTATTTATTTATTTATTTATTTATTTATTTATTTATTTATTGTACCTTCAGGGCCCGAGGGAATTACAGAGGGGAGTGGGGATATACATAACGGAAGCAATGTAAAACAGCAAGGAAAAAAAATTCACAGCAGATAAGTAATTGAAATAAAGTAGGCATAAATGACAATTCAATAAGGAAAAGGTATACTAACAATAGTAAGCTTATATATACACACATATATGTATACATATATACAAACATATATATATATACACACAAACATTTAGAGAAGATCAATGGTTTTACGAAACATATTATTATCAGTTATATAAGTGATATCATGAAGAAGATCATTCCAACTGACACAAGTTCTGGGTATGAATGAGTCATGAAAACATTTGGTGCGACATGATGGAACTCCAACTTTATTGCGGTGATCAATGCGAGCTGATATGTATGATGGTTTGTTAATAATTTCTGTTTCAGATAGCTGTTGTAATAAATTTTGTGAAAAAGACATAACGAAGCTACTGACCTGCGATGAGAAAGAGGAGGGAGGGACAAACTCAATTTCATGGCGGTTACGCTGCTTTTTCGGTGATAGTTGGAGAGTATGAAACAGCAAATTGTTGGTTTTAGCCACGCGTCTTTCAGTCAAGACAATCGCGACGCTGTCAGTGCATGAAAGTCACAAGTATTTATTTTGTAGCAGGAAAGCAAGATTTGTTTTAAAACAGTGCAAATTGATTTACGTTCGCCTTACTGTGGTGCTTAAAGGGACACTAAAGGCAACTATTAAGTCGACATTGATTGTTGCAATGGCGGTCCAGAAACCTCGTAGTGTTACTTTTGTGCCAAGGAAGGTTCTATTTTAAAATAAAATCTCGTTTTAGTGGTCCGCATCGGGTTAGCACACTTCAAATTACCCGCCTCAAAAAGCAGACCGACCGAACAGATTCACGTCACTTTGCCGTGCACAACATTGCTTGGCTTCACTGCACTAGTAGCAGCAGACCGAAAGCAGCGGGAGCCACAGCAGAAACAACGATTATCGATCAATTTCCTGCGATTGGCTTCAAGATTGCAGACGTGTTTTGTTTCAACTGCACCCCACTAGATGGCACCACATGTAGCATGTAACCACGCGAAAGTTGAATTTTTGAACCACTCGCGCCATTTGTCATAGTAACGTCCGAGGTTTCTTTTTTCCACTAATAAAACAGAAATGAACAAGCAGCATTTTATTGCGTCTCTTGATGTACGGAAAATTCCTTATTTAGAGTAGTTAGACCGATTACTAGTGATTAATTGTAGGCGGTCCGTCTGATGTCATCGGAATCATTTTGGAAATGTCTTACTGCAACGCTTCTGTTTTGGTGCATTTACCTTAATTTCTTGGTAAGTAGGGCACTGTTGTTGATAGTATTGTCGTTTTAGATGTTTGACGTTTTAGATGAGCTGGACTACAATCTAAGCCTTGAAGGCAGCCTAAGCACATTTCAAACGTGCTGCATTGCCCTGTGGCAGATCAAACTATAGAGCATTTCTGAATACGTGGAAGAGTGGCTGCTGCCAAAAATGAAATTGACTATTATTCTTGAAACCGCTTACTATCAAAGGTTAGCGAAGTTCTGTTGATGTAAGTACCAAAGAAGCAGCTTAAAACGCTCTTGACGCATTGCTGCAGTGACGTTTCATAGAATGTCGCCCCACATGCGTCGATTGTCAGAGATGGGCTGAAACGACTTGCCCTCCTGTATCCTGTCGGCGATTGCGTGCTGGCCGAACAACCACCGTGTTTTGCGTGGCGCAAGAGGCTGCCATTTTGGTTGTTTCTCCTCTTGTCAAGTGATCCCTCGCTCGCTATAGTCCAGGTTCGGTCACAAACTGGGTGCCTGACGCACAACCACCGGCTAGCTGATCAGAGCGGGAGGTCATCTAAAAGCGCCTATTGCTGGTGGTAGCCTGTGTTGCAGTGTGTGGCAGTGACATCGCTCAAGTACATCCTGGCTCAGCCGTACAGAAAAGGCTGAGAATAGCTAAAGAAAATCTATACACATTTAAAAAATTAAGGTTTTAGTTTTTCAATTTCAGTTACGAGGCAAGGCAAAGAAGACTTGCATGTTTCTTGACGAGCCCTTTGTTTTGGAGTTGCATGTCTGACAGCAGAAGCGAAACCAGTGAGACCGTGTCAATTACAAAAAATACTTACACTGCTCATTACACAGTATGCAAAGAAGAATGATAGTAAAAAGAAACACTTTGACATGAATGTTAAGGAAAAAAGGTTAAACAAACTGTAATGGTGCAAGTCCTTGCTCATGAAGCACGTACAAAATCATCAGCATTTTTGATACATCATTGAAAAGTTATTATAGGCTTGAAAGAGACATGAGAAGCAATTTTACTTGTTTTTTGAAACAAAGAATAGTACATGAGTTTTCATTGGCCAGTTTGATTAAGAATGAGTATGCATTACACAAAGAAATTATTTGGTAATTTAACCTATAATTTTATACTCAGCGACTGCTTTTTTTGGCAGCACTGTGGAAGCTACAGCACCGAAGGGCATGCCTGCTGCCGTACCAAAAGATATTACTTAAATTTATTGATAATTCCCCCCCCCCCCTTTTTTTTGAAATTAACGCCACTTTTTTTATTGTGAGACTGGAAGAGTTGCAAGAATTTGTAGGTAAAATACAGTTATTGTACACTTTGCAAAAATGCCTTCCTTTTTTTACCATTTTTAGTCAGCACCACCTTTTCGGCACAGCTATTTTTCAAAGTAAACATGGTGTCCAAAACAAAGTGGGTCAGTGTGTAGCCACAAGCACGCTGTTTAGTTCTTGAAAAAAATACACTCGTCATATACATGAGTGTATTTTTAAAAATATACAGTGAAGTATCAAAATGTTTCTCTCATTCACATTTTGTGTAGAAGCCCCACAATCTTTGCTCCAGTGTGAAGACATTTATGCTAATCTCATTCTCACTTAGCCAGATGTGAAGTTTGTTAAGCCAGATGTTGGCATGCTGCTCTAACAAGTTTAGTTCTGGACCAGAAAAGAAAGCATTAGTGTCATCGGCATACATAGTAATGGCAGGAGTAAAAGGAATGTTAGTTATAACAAAAAAAAAAAAGCAAAGGACCCAACATATTTTTTGTGGGACCCCAAAGTTTATGTTGCTCAAGCCCAACTTGAATTTGTGAAGCTGCGTGTATTGGATTCTGCCCCTATTAATATAAGGGATATAAATAACGAATGAAGTCATTTTCACAATGCTCATGAGACATGAGAAAAAATAAGGCGTACTACATATATTTACATCAACCCCTTTATGTAGTATACAATATATAGGGCGATTCTTTCAGAACTTACCCATTTCATTGGGCTGTAGTTTTGCTACCGATTTGTGGCAGATCATTCAAAAAGAATGAAAATTTAATGGCCCGTTCATTTTTTTTATGTGCATCATTGAAAGTGAAGAATTAATAACAGAGCGAAAAGCCACGACATGCTGTATAAAGAGGGATGGTTTGTCTGGAGCAGACAAGAGTGGCGATATGGGCTTGTTGGTGAAACATTTGAAAGAAATTATGTAAGGCGAGGCGAAAAAACGAACACAGGAAAGAATAGACTGAGAGGACGGAGCGCTCTGTCCTCTCAGTCTATTCTTTCCTGTGTTCGTTTTTTCGCCTCGCGCTACATAAATTTCTTTCAAATGTCTGGAGCAGACATTGCAGCTGCGAGTGGTGGCGGAATTTTTGACGACATGATCATCATAAGTTAATGCAAAACCCATTAACTACAAGCACTTGTGATGTGCTCCACATCGCATCGGACCATGAGCATTTGTGCACATTGCTTTTGCATAAAATTTCACTCTTCATTATTTGTTATGTATTACTTCTTTTTGGCACTGCACATTCTGGCTATTAAATGTTCATCTTTTCTTAATCTTTTGCTATACACCACATTAAGTTGTATAATCTTTAACAGAACTACAGCCCAGTGAAGTGGGTCCCTTCTAAAAGACTCCCTGTACCTCACCAATAAAGGTTCAAATATCTAAACTGCCTGCAGCACCATGCCACTGCACAGGAAATTATTTTTATGGGCATCAAAGGATGCAACAATATCATATATAGGCTATCTACTTAAAAGCAAGTCATTTTAACTCAACAGTTGCATATCATTGAGTGGAAGCTTCAGTACATGTATTCCAATGGAGTGCGGTCACTAGCGTGAGTTCAGTCTTAGTGAGCCACAGGTCCATGTTTACTGTCTCCTCGCATAACTAACGCCTCTGCACACGCACGTTCAGACAGCCAAGGCGCCGAGCACAGCGCGGCAAGTACACAGTACTGCTCTCAAACAAGTCGCAACGCTTTATTGCCTGCGGCAACACTAAAAACGCAGTACAGCGCCTGCTGCAAAAGGCGGTGGGAAAGCAAGCGAGGCTTATCTACACCACGATCGAAGGTAAAACACAAAGAGTGCCGCAAGCACGTCTCTGTAGGTAAAAAGATTCACAGTGACACACTGCTGAGAGAAACGGGCCTCTGCAACTACGCTGCGCGGTCTCACAATCAGTGACCACAGATCGACGGGAAACTCTACTCATGTTGGCTTCAAGAGGCACGGCTTGGTGTATTTAGACCATGCGTGCACACACAGCCCCACTCTCAGTCTAAACGAAAGGTAAGCATTTGCCGCAGCTGCAAGGCACCATTGGTGAATCCGAGCGAGCTCCTGAAATGAAGGGAGCCAATGGATATGAAAGAAAGTGCGTGCTCATCTTTTGCTGTCCAAAGAGGATCTCCCACTCCCGCCAGATGCGCACGCGCCGTCCTTTTCGCGAGATTTGAGCGCGGCACCTTTTCGTCATCTGGTTGCGATCATGTGCCTGGTGAAAAGGGAGCAACGTTACTCCCACTCTCCTAGCGCCGGCAGACCGGGAAGAAGGAGATTCATGTTAGGACATATGAACGGCAGAAATAGGTGACACAGCCCGCGCTAATGGCGACGAGCTAGCCTCAAATACCACAAAGTTATGGCACCCTGTACAGTTAACATTGCTCAATTATTGCAGCTGTTTCATGAAAGAATCATACCAAACAGTTCTTGCATATACCATTTCATCTTGATCAAAAATCTGTTTTCATCACTTAAAAAAGAATGTGTGTTTTGAAGTACTTAGTTGAATTATTAATAAAATACTGATTTATTGCAGACTGTTTAATTAGTATTAAACTTTGGCATATGCCCACGTAATGTTCTTAATAAAAGCAGAGGATTGAACGAAAAATGAAAAAACAATATTATTGACAGGAATGAAAATGTAGCCTAATTGCTATCTATTATTTCGTTAAAGTGAAGCCAACATATTTTTAATTGTTTTTCGGTTCATGCGGAAGCTTGGTAAACTGGAACTGATGTCATGCATTGTGTGCATTATAATACATATCTCGGAGAACAGTACTTGCATGTATCTTAGGCCAGAATTCTAAAAAGATGTGTTGAAATTGCACAAAAAAAAGCAAAAGCATTGGCAACGAGAGAACATTATACAGTCGAATCTCAATAATTCGAACTAGAAGGGTCCAGAAATTTCTTCGAATTAAAAGAAGTTTGAATTAATGTAAGGTCAATGAACGGAGGGCTCGCCATGCATTGGCGCATGTGCGTTGAGCTAATACACAAGAGGGAAGCTTCAGAAGACTTACATTTATTCACAAATCACAGGGCATCCCTCATTAATTGAAGTAATCGGTGATGGGCATCTGCACACGTTTGCCTTGCAGGGAATCAATCAATTTCGCACGCAGTTTGTAGAGCATTTTAACTTCGGCTTCAGCGTTTTGCTGGTAGAAGAAGTAGCGCACGGCTAAGTCCAGCGCCAACACTCTCGAAAGACGACTGCAACGACTGCGTCTCCGCTGCTACTCTCTACTCCGCAGCCGGAGCGTGGCCAGCACATGACGAAAAAGGAGGTGCGTCTCCACGCGGGGGGGGGAGGAGCAGATCGGCATTTGAGAGAGAAACAACACTCCCCAGCAGCTCTTCTTTTTTTTTTTCCACTTTCGTCGTGCGCGGCAGACTGAAAGGACAAGGGTGTCTACGTTACATGGGGGAAAAAAAAAGCGTGGCACCGGCGCATCACAGATTAGCATTAGAGAGAAAGCCAACACTTCGCAACAACTTTTTTTTTCCCTTTCTTTCTTCGCATGCCACGTTGAAAGGAGGAGGGTCTCTACATGGCAGGGACAGAAAAGAGAGAAGCGTGACACAGGCGCGTCGCAGATCGGCATTTGAGGGAAAGCAAACATTTTGCCGCAGTCTTTTCTTTCCTTTGATTTCCCTTGTGGGCAGCATTGAGGTGTCGCAGGTGCCGCCGCGGGATCAAGCGGGGCGCTGAGAGCATTTTTGGAGTGCGGTATGTTCAAATTAACCGTTGCAAGTGCTTGCACATTCAAATTACAGGACGTTTTCGCTCATTGGAATACACATGGCTTTGACTGGACCACAGCATGAATTCGGATTAACCGGAAGTTCGAATTAAATGTGTTCGAATAAACGAGATTCGGCTGTATTAACTCAAGTGGACTTTCGAGTACCTATGACATGCCAGCGAGGAGAAGGCATTCTCTGCGTAGAATTTTGTTTTATAGGAACGGCGGTCTTGCCAATGAGAGGTATACGCTCTTTCACAGGCTGCTCCCGAGATCATGCTCACTCCTTTGACACAAAGCATCGAGCCTGCTCAAAAAATCATACTTCACTTTTGAGGAACTATAACATACCATGGCACTGGTTCGCGCTGACTTGTAGAGATTCATGGCACAGTTGTGCTCCATTAAGAATGTGGAAAAATGGTGCCCTACTCCTGTTCCACTAGGGAGCATAAGTAACTATACGACGAATCTGATATTTTTAATCGTTACTCTAACTTCATATCTTCACGTACAAATAAATAAGGTTACATAACATGTCTTCTTTTTCATTCCGCAACAAAAAGGGAAGTTTTAGCAGTGGAACAAAACTAAAACTGAAAAAAAAACACATGTCATTCTGTCCTCAGGAATAAAGACATAATGATGCATCTTCTCGGAGGAAAAAAGCGGCGATGTAAATGTTCTTCCTGCTTCGGAAAAGGTTAGGTTTTTATTTGTGCAATTGATTTTTGATTCCAGGCTATACGCAGATTTGATTGCGCTGGTTAGTTTCTGTGTCCTGAATGTAACGAACTATTTTATGAAGCTTAGTGGTTTTGTCAAGACTCCGTGCAATGTCATGGAATTCTAGTGCTCCCTTTTTACAATGTTTCTTTGCTGTTTTGCTCTGGCAAAGACCAGTTCATGTTTTCTGTTTGTTGCACAGGTGTTCAAGAAGCCCTGGCCATCTATGATGCGAACAGTCTACAATAACCACGTTCGCTTTGAGACCACATATTTCAAGAAGTTCCCTGGTTACTACTGCACTGGTGATGGTGAGATGCTGCTCTTATGGAATGAGCTCTGGTCTTTATGAAAGAGGTTGTCCCGATGTCTAAATAACACGATTGGTGTACAATCGCGAGTTACTCCTCTTTTAAAAACAAGCAGATGATGATTCTCGTTGTCTCCAAATGCGTATGACCAGATAGGAAATGAGGCCCCATGCATATTATAATACAGCAAGAGTGGGTACCGTTTACTAGCTTTAGGGGCCTTCGATGTAGCTGACATCACTGCCTCTTTGGTGTTGCCACATTGGTTCTTGAGAATAACATGAAGCTAGGAAGTGCTTGTCTATCGTTTGTTGATCAAGTCCCTAAACAATGTTGCACTGTAATGAAAGCATTTGTGGGTAACCAACTAGCCAGACCAATGCAAATTATACAAGCCTCTGCTTGTCGCTACTCTAATGCTTCTACTGGTGTGTTCAGTGTCAGACTGCAGTGGAACCTCATTATTGCTACATCAGGTACATAGAGGGCTTGTTAGAAAGTGGGACTAAGCTGGTATGAGACTTTTAGCAAGTGGGATTATGGGACTATGAAGTTGGATTACGGGACATGTTAGGAAGTGGGATACTTAGGATTTTTAGGCAGTGCAATTATGGGACTGGGTGTGGAAGTTTGTCTCGTATAGTGGAACTTGCCAGGAAGTGCAACTCTGTATACAGTTTCGTATGGGGCTTGTTAGAAAGTGGGATTGTGGGACTTGTTAGAAAGTGAGATTGTGGGACACGTTAAGAAGTGGCCGGATGAAAAGACACTGTAGATGCCACGTCCTTGCACTGCCATGTTAACTAGCTGCAACCAAAGTACAAAGTACAACCAAAGTACAAGAGTCCCATGTTAACTAGCTGCAACCAGAGTAAAACCTCTGAGCAGAGTGATCAACACAGTAAATTAGTCGCAAGGCTTTTCACGCATTTATTTCTCTTTAGTCACTGTGGCATAGATAAAGAGATGAGTTGTACACGTGCTGTGGGGCCTTCCACGCATTAACTCTGTCATTCTAGGGGCACGGCGAGACAAGGACGGCTACTTCTGGGTCACTGGCCGCATGGATGACATGCTCAATGTTTCGGGCCATCTGCTCTCCACAGCCGAAGTGGAGTCGGCGCTTATCGAACACCCGGCCGTGGCAGAATCCGCGGTGGTCGCAACTCCACACCCCGTCAAGGGCGAATGCCTGTACTGCTTTGTCATACTGAAGGATGTGAGTTGCATCGCAAGTTGAAATATTGTCTGTTCAGATGGTTCAGAAATGTCACCCAGGAAAGACTACTTCATAATTACTAACATGGCATACTTTATCTGTTGTGCATTTTCGTCGGTGCCAAATGGAATCGCACAGCAACTATCGTCTGCCCCTGTGGACTTGTACTATTCAGTTGGAACCGCAGTCTAATTGTTTAGTTGAATCTGAAAAACTGTATAATCGAGAAAGAGAGTTTTCGAACCTTCAAGATCTAACATTGTAATCTGGTGACATCCAAAAGATATCATTGCATTTTCCACTACCCCACACCTGTGCATATGAAAAGCCTGTGAGGGTGGCCTAGACATGTAAACTTCCATGTCCGGCTGATGTGAGCTAGGTGGTACATAGTCACGTGAAGCAATCACTGATGACTAATATGTCCATCTTACTATTTCAACGATTACAATGTGTGATGTTGCATTTTGATTTTATTAAGGAAATTGTGAAGCTAAGGAGTGGTTTGTTGGCCATGAAGGACGCCGAAAAATATGTTCGGCTGCTCATAATAGTCTGCTTAATATGACAAGACACAAACTATTGCCACACTCACAGATGAAAAATTTGAGCGCAGTGGGATAAGCCTCTGCTCAGGCGTCTAATGGGCAGCAGCGGTAGACTAAAGGCTGCGTTGCTCATTGTTTGGAAAAAAAGCGTCAACACAAGAATTTGTGTGGAGCATGATTTGTTTTGGTGCAGGCTACATTTTCTTCTTGGACATCTCCTTCTCCATGCTCTTTTTGCCATCATTCAATCTGTCATCCTCACCCGTGCTAGGTTCAAACAGGCTTAGCTTAAAGGAACACTAAAATAAACTACTAAGTCGACGCTGAATTGCTGAAATAGCGATCCAGAAACCTCATAGTGTTACTTTTGTGCCAAGGATGAGCTTGTTTTGAAATAAAATTACAATTTAGTGGCCAGCATCGGGCTAGCGCACTTCAATTTACCCGCCCAAACAAAACGTTTCATGTCACTATTGCCATGCATGTTGCCCAGGTTTTACTGCGCGGCCGCCAACACTAGTAGCACCAGAGCAAAAGTAGCGGGAGCCACAGCAGCAACAAGTGCCATTCATCAATTTCCTGCCATTGGCTCCCAGATGGCAGACGTTTTTTTTTTTTTGTTCAACTGCGCCCCGCTAGATGGCACGACCTGTCCCGTGTAACCACGCGAAAATTGATTTTTGAACCACTCGCGCCATTCCCCCATAGTAAAGTCCAATGGTTATTTTTTCCATGAATCAAACAGAAATGAACAAGCAGCATTTTATTGCATCTCTTGATGCACATAGGGTTCTTTATTTATTGCAGCTAGATCGATTACTAGTGATTAATTGTAGGTGGTTCGTCTGACGTGACTGGTATCATTTTGAGACTGTCGTACTGCGTCGCATGTATTCTTGCACATTTAACTTAGTTTCTTGGTAAGTAGGGCACTGCTGTTGATAATATTGTCATTTTAAATGTTGTCATACATTGAGCTTTCACTCTGACGTAAATTGTTATTTGGCTTTAGTGTCCCTTTAAACGTAAAGCTCTAAAAGTATTATTCAATAAGTGCTGGTTTGTTGGATGATGCAAATGCAATACCCACCTTTGCTTAAGACTTTTCTGCTGCCTGTCATGCAAAGCAGAATTAAATTTTTTCTGTGGATGTAGTACTTACATGAAAGCCTTTTTCGTGACGTTAAGTACTGGTGCCAAATGATTAAGGGTGCAAATTAAAGCAAAATTAGCCTGAATGGAAATGTGGAGCGTATGCTTTCTCCTGTGATTAAAATTGGCTTTTAAGGACATGATGGCTCTTTCTTTTTGTCCCTTTACAAAAAAAAAAACATAACAGAGGATATATAGTGTCACCAGCATCATGCAATTTATTGTGAATGGCTTGCCTTTTTTATTAATGGACTGCATTAAGAAAGGTAAAGCAGACAACCACCCAACCGTAGCATGAAGCCACAAGAAATCTGTACAGATTTTTCAGAAAGAAAAGCTTCTTGGCAAAAGTCCTGGTACAGGGTTCGACCCCAGAACCAATGCATTTCTGGGGCGGTCGATCTGCCAATTGAGCAAGGGCAAATTCATCGACAACTCGAAGCATGTGGACACAAGTATTTCGAATGAGTTTCGCGGAAACCCGCAGAGCACAATCGGGTAATTGTCTTCTTTCCCCTTCTTGACCCTCACGAGTTTTCGTAGAACTCATTTGCAATGGGCTGCATTGATAAGCGGACTTTTTCTTCAGCGACATATAGCCTGTTTGTGAATGCATGGCATCATTATATTTCAGGGCTCTACTTTCAATGACCAACTGGTAGGCGAACTAAAGGAGAAAGGTGAGTGTCTCAGCCATAATTGGGCTTCACCAGGAAAAGGGTGTGCAGAGAATATCTACGGACTTTTATAGTTCAAGTAAAGGCCTTTCTATTGCCATGACGACCACGCTATCAGGGGCTAAGCCCTCCTGTTTCAAGGATAAGCTGGTAATGGAAACCTCAATCAGTACTTATATGCAAAATAAAATGGAAAGCCCTTGTAATGTTGTGACTTTACTAGAGTGGTCTTTTATCATCTTCTCTGCTGATGCACTTCTCACCTATCATTATGCTTGTGTGAATATTCAAGCACTTAGAATGTTAGAATTAATATTATAGTATTCGAATTTGCTTCGATTTAAAGTTAAATGATTTAAGTATTCCAAATCAACGAATAAGTGTATATCGATTTGCGTGCAACCCACATACAAGTAGTTTTACTGCAGTGCAGAGGTGCTATGCCACGAGTACATCTTGAAAGCCGCACTGCGGTGAAGCCCCACTTTAGTATTACATGAAGATACTACTGTGAAATGAATTTATATTTTTTACAAGTTTAAAACCTTGTTTATAGTACCAGCTCGTATGATCTAGGTATAGTACATTTTAGAATGTGACATATTTTGTGGGTTACTACTTACATTCTACCGAAAGTTAAATCCTCCTACTATTTAAAGTTGCTTCCACAATTTTTTTTAGCAGAGAAAGAATGAGATTTGCCCAGCCATGTTTCATTAAAAAAAAAAAACTACTGTGCAGGGTAGTTGGGTCATGACAAATACGCTTTTCTTTCTTTACAATATGTGGTATATATTATTTGAACTCAATTGAACATTCTTTGACCAAGACACTTCATTCGAAATTTACATTTAAACTAAAATTATTTCACACAAGCCTACCTATTATGTAAGAAGCATGCTGATATGCATGCCTTGATACCCTAACTGCTTGCTCCTACAAGCTTGTCAAGGGCTGCATTTGTGATTGGTCACTTTCAAAGATAGAAAAAGAGTTGCTATCTATTGAAAGCCAGACTTGTATGGACATTACTAATGGTTTATTTGTGAAACAGAAACCAAAGATAAAATCATTCAAATTAAAAAGATAAATTGGATTATCACATCTAGGTGTATCATTTGAGGACACTGCAGTATGTGAACATAAGGTTGTAAAAAGTGGCGCAAGATATAAAGTAACATTCTCTTTAGTATCGGGTTTACCATGAACGTGTTGCGAAAAAGGAAATGTCATATTCACAGCATAATGAAAACAGGATGTCTAGTGCTTCGGTATTTTGTTAGCAGAACCAAAGCTGAGGATTGTGAGATGTTCTATATCATTGCTGCAGTTAGATTTGTGCAAGGCAGTTCAAAAGATGTGTGCTGCAGCCTTTCAGTTCGAACCAAGATTGGTCCCTTTGCCACGCCCGAGTATGTCCACCATGCCCAGGCACTGCCCAAGACCCGGTCAGGGAAGATAATGCGTCGTGTGCTGCGCCAAGTTGCCCGGAATAACCGCAATTTCGGAGACCTCAGCACCTTGGCAGACGAGAACGTCGTCGAGGCCCTCTTCAAGACGAGGCCGCCTGTGGCCTAGACCAACTCAGCCGGGCTTAGCGATGCAGAATGCAGTCTGAAGGTCAGGCCAGACGCCTCTCAGTGCCGTAGTGTGGGACACTAGCAGCTCCAAGGTGATGTCTCAAACGGGTGATTTTTTGCACAACAGCAGTCGTTGAAAAGCTGCTCCTAGAAAGCCAGTGAGTCACAGTGCACGGCTTCAGTATGTTATCGTGTATATTTTGATCTGTGTCTCTGCTTTCCGTAGCCTGCCATCCATGTAGAATAATTGGGCTGACTCACCATGCTGCGGCCGCCTGACTACCTTGCATTCTGAATCACTGCAAAGCCGGTGCCGAATCGGATGCAAGGGTTGCTCTGCCAGATATGCACACTGTGCATGCAACTAGCCGAGAATCTACTTAATCTTGCAGCTATTGTTGTTTAGTGATACATCAAGTTACATTGGCAGGAAGTCATGCACATTTATCACTGTTTTATTCTAGAGCATGTTGTATATGCATGACCTTTTGCCCACCTCAGGGTTGCGATTTAGTGAAAGCATCTGTAAGGATGTTGTTGCTTCTTCAGAGTTTATTCTTGGCCGGTGCAACATAGCGAAAGACGTATAATCGTATGTGATCGTACCCACTAGTCGTTGAAAATGGTGTGATGTGTCAATTCTTCGTGACCAAGCCTCATGTGAACAGTTGCCATGTTCCCCAGCATCCTTTGGCCAAATGGCTTGCAACACTCTTCATTTCTTCTCACCTTGTTAAACATGCATAACAGCCCGGTCAGCAGGCATTGTTAAAATGTGGACCAGAAAAAGAGCATATGTTATTACAGCATTTCATATTTTCCCCTCCTCCCCATTACAGCGCATAAAGCCAGAACAAGTGCATTTTGGTGGCACATGGCAGGTGCTCTGCAAAGACAATCAAACTCTCTTACCATTCCAGGAACAGGCGACTCTATACCTCTGGCAAGCATACGGGATGGCAACTTGGTCAGGTCTATTTCGGTGCATTGCTCGAAAGAGCCATTACAGTATCGTTGTTCCGTGGAGCCTTTTGCATGCCTCATCTGCATCAGACAATCAGTATATCTAGGCTGTTAAACCCTTCTCACTGAGTGTTGCACAGTTATGTATCCATCAACACAAGTTGGTTTGCCATGTAGCCAGATTTCAGTTGAGGGCCATGTAATTGCAACCGCAGATCTTTCCATGCGGCATTACTGTTGACCCAAACATTCGAGGATTGAATCTCGGGCCACATTTTCGGTGGAGGCGAAAAGGCTTGAGGTCCCATGCATCTAGATTTGGGCTTACGTTAAAGAACCTCAGGTGATCCAAGCCCTCCATTACGGTGTTCCTCATAATTATTATTGTGCATGCGGAATTGAGCCTGATGCATTACAGTCATTTGACATTAGTCTGCACTAGCAAGACAATGCTTTTAAGGTCTAGGAAACATCTGCACAGCAACTATTTTTCATCATGCCTCAGGACCACAAATAATGGCATTGAGTAGTCAAGGCCTTCAGTTCGTGAGTGGCATTTTCTTCGGTAGAGCTGGCAGACATTTACACTCGAAAGCATTTAATCTGACAGTGTCACTAACTAGTGAATTCTAAATTGAGCATTGATACAAATAATAAAAGAAAATGGGCACACTTTGTAGCAAGTTTAAATCTGCATTTAAACATGGTGAAGTGTAGAAATAGCCATACTATAGTGCCATTCATCTGAGTCTATGATCTTTTACAACTTTGTAACCGATCTTGGTTACTTCAGCCATTGCATGTTGAATACGAAGCTTAGAAACAGTGTGGTGTCTGTCATGTCAAAATTGTGATTTTAAATTGAATTCGCTGCAGTGCTACTAGGAGCTAAAGTGAGATTTTTTGAAGTGATCTGTAAATATTTCTCACTTTTACAGACACTATTACAAATTCTTGAAGTGTACTTGACTAAGCAAGCTTAAATGTAGAGAGTACACATTCTTCAGTCAAATTCGTCCTCACAGAAGCATTAGATGACAAATGGCATCAGGGTGGATTCTAGTTAATTTGCCCATGTGCCACTACACAGGTGGCATCAAATCTTGAAGCACTGGGAAGTTGAAATGCCATATTGTGTCTCCGTGCGGCACACGAGCTTTTTAATGTGACTGATGCATACTGACAAGAATAAATTAGTGCAAGAAAAAAGCGCAGCACACAATATACACACAAATGCGAGATCGGTTCATGTAGAAACCGCACAGTCTCTTCATGAGCAGATCTTGAAATGCATCAGCAAGCAGATGAATCAATTAGAAAAGCAGCACTTCCCTCATAACTGGAAAGTTCTATTTGAGTGCTTTCTTTAATCCTGTGCACATTGCAACGTCTGTTAGCACATAAACATGACTTGCCATCCATATATGTTGCAACTTGTGGTGCAGAATGCAACATAATGGTGGCATGGTGCTCATAGCAAGCCATTCAGGAAATGGTTGACGTTTTCTTCCCCCCAGCTGAGGCAATATTTGTGAGTGCTATGCAGAAGTACGTTGTTACACATAATGTGCTGTTGTGCCCACTTTTTGCCATCTACGAAAGCTCCAGACTGGAGATATAAGTATCGTGGTGAAAACACGTTTTGCTTGTTGTATGCCGTGCAACGATGGCGCATTGCTCACGGCTTGCTGAGTGCAGGTTGTGTGCTGTGGAGTGATCAGCACTGCAGTGGATGTTGTTACCTCGTAGTTGTTTGATTGTTACGCGTACAATGCATGGCCCTGTAGGCAAGTGCAATAAAATGTTTCATCAAGCTATGTGCCTCATTAATTTACATGGTTAATTAAGCAGTCTGCTACACTGACCAATTTAACTGGTTAAGGTTCTGACTTGCTGGCATAGTGATCCTTTAAAAATCTGTTGTAGATGTTTTCTTTGCCAAGTGTGTGGCATTTTACCAATGTTCAAGTGTTTGTTTATTCATTTATTTGCAAGTACTGCTGTCTCGAATTCGAGACATAGCAGGAGTGGGTAGCTATTTTAGCACAAACAATAATAGGAGAAAACGAAAAAATTCTACGTTATACAAATAGATCAAAATATGATATGTTAACACAAGTATCCAACAGAATGATTATCAGGTGCGAGTACAGATGCTGATAAAAACATAGAAAAATAACAACCGCTAAGCTAATGCAATACAGATGATACGGGTGAGTAGTTTCTTCACAAGTTCTTCATGAGTCAATACATGAAGTGAGCCATCCAATTTGTTCCAGATGGAAAGAACGGAAAAATTAAAACAGTCCATGTGTGTCTTTTCAGTCTGGGTTAGTCTAATGCATTGTCGGGCATAAAAGAGAAGGGTACCTGAATACCAGATGGTGTGTGGACGATCTTGTGTAGCGAAATTATGCGTTTGTACCTATGCTCCAAGGTCTGTAATTATACATGTGACGAAGGTGGGGAGCTGCAACTATACATAACGACCAAAGATGAATCTGATACCTCTTTTCTGAATGGATTCCAGCTGCTTCATGTCGCGCATGAGGTGGGGGGAACATACAGTTGAAACTTAATCTAGTATCGGACGAACTAGTGATTTGTAGGCAGTTGGTTTACATTCCAAGGTTGCATTTTTTAAAGTTCACTTGACGTAGCCTATACTCGGAGACAACTTTTCTTGGCACTCAAAAATGTGGGGGTGCCGACACTTCCTGTAAAGTTGTTTGTGCCGTGTGGTGCATGTGTCTCACCCAAAAGCCGCATTTCGGGTGATAACCACCAGGCGATAGGTGGCGTTGTGTTCGCGAGAGTTGGCCACCACCATCGTCGTCATCATGGTGTAGCGCCGGCGGTGAACCCTGGTGGAAAGCAAGCCTTGGTGGCGGGCAAGTGTTGAGCGAGTCTCTTCTGCGCGTAGCGATTGCCGCGAATGGTTGTCTCTAGCGTGGGTCCCCCGGTGCTCGGCACCGCGGGTCGCGCGCTGGGGGACCATCGTGGTAAGTCAAGTGTTGGCGACGCTGCCTTGGGTGTGTTATTCTGTTTGTCATGTTTTGGAGTATTGTGTTAGGTTGTTTAGCATTGGTAACTATTGATGTATTGATTTGGCGGACGATATCGCCGTTCAAAAGTAGTTAAATAAATGTATGTATGTTGTTCATTGGTTTGTACCGACCGCGTCTTCTGTGTCCGCTCACTCCAACAGCGTGGCATCGCGCTCGCTCACCACTTCGAGACCCCACAAGGGAAAGCTACGGAGGCAGAGCTTCCGCACATGTAGCACTACGCGAAGTAGTCCATTCTGGCGCGCGTCTCTTAACGCTATGGAAAGTTCAGCGTTTCATGTAGATACAGCTGCAGCCTAGTGTATGAGGTGCATGTAAAAAGGCGGGACTTTCTCGCGCGTTCAAGAACGCAAGGTCACAATGAATAAATTAAAGTAAATACGACTATCATAATGGTGGGAGCTGTGCCCTGTCTCAAATAGCTCCACGTAGAAAATAAAGACAGAACATTTATATTTCACTGTTGAAAATACGGGCGCTGTTGTGAAACTACATTCACTAGTGATGGGATGGCCGCGATTTGGCTCTGTAGCCTTCGCTACAATTCCAAGAAAAGTTGTCCCAGAGTATAGTTTCCAAAGTGCTTCTGCAGAGATGCGGTTGATATGGGCGTGCGATTTTAGGCTGTGTGAGAAAATAACACCCAGAACCACCCCACTGTATCAAAAAGAATATATTCTACAACAGTTTGAACAAAAGAAAAATAAAGTGGTCAAAATTTTTATGGATTTCACAGAAGCATTTGACTGCATTCACAACAACATTTATTTGAAAAATTAAACCATTATGGCATTCGCGGGCTCCCGCTCATGTTACCTAAAAACTATCTGGCACATAGATGTCAATTTGATTCGATAAATGATTTAGTGTCAGATAAGAAAAATATAATTTCAGGGGTACCACGACAAAGCATTCTTGGCCCTTCATTGTTCACTTTGTATATTAATGGCATATTGCATATCTCCCCAGAATTCAAGTTTATTTAGAAGTGTGGCAGCTTGGGCTAGTTGGTATGGCATGACGATAGTTATAGCACGAGAACAGAACGACGACACAGAGACAAGCAGGACACGACAGACACGAGCGCTCGTGCCTTTCGTGTCCTTCTTGTCTCTGTGTCGTCATTTTGTTCTCGCGCTATAACTCTCGTCAAGTTTATTATCTATGCAGATGACAAGATAGTCACCTCAGCATCAGATGTTATTCTTTCTAATAAGGCTAATAAGGTCTTACAGAAGTAGCTAGACAACTGGACCAATAACAGTAAGTTAAAAATAAATGCAACTAATACAAAAGCCATAGTTTTTTATCCGAAAGGTCAACAAGTGACTTTGGAGAATAACATTCTATTTAGAGGCTCGGATATAAAAATAGTCGGTGAAATTTCTTGGGGAATATTTCTCCAGTTCTTTGCAATGGGATGACCATGTCAATAATATTCAAATAAAATTAAGCCGGATAACTGGAATATTCAGCCGCATCCAGTACTTCATCCCCAACTCTGTGAAATTATTGATATACAGATCGCTATTTATTGTCTTAGCTATTGCTATTTGGTTTGGGGAATAACTACAGAAACAAACTTAACAAAATTAACTGAAAATACAGAAAAAAATACTAAAGCTGATAGACGATGCTGTATTTCTAGCACCTAGCGACCCACTGTTTAAAAATACAAGATAATAAAAGTGAATGACCTGTATCAATACAAACCGCTACGAGAGTACCATCTTAGCTGCAAACGCTTAAACTTTTCGTTTATGAAGATAACGAATCTTTGCTTAAAGAAAAAGGCGTACGAAACAAGGAATACAAAAATGTGGAACGTTCCTTACTTCTGTACTAATTATGATTTTCAGATGCTTCGATGTACTCTACCAAGAATTCTAAATAACTATATTAGCAAATGGTATAGATGTGTCTCATTTAGTGTCGCAGAATTAGCTGCTCTTTTTGTTGTGTAAACTATGTAGTTATTTCTTTAGGTGCAGAAGATCGCATCAGGTATCTTTCTTGTGCAAGCTATGTATAAACCACGTTTTCAGTTTCCTTTACGACATGATCTTTACACAAAACAATGTGACAGTTTTAGGGGGAAAAAAAGTATATGATATTGTCATGCCCTGTACGAGGTATATAATATTGTGATAATGTTGTGATGCCTTTCAGCTGCTGCCATTGTTCACAAAAGGGGTGAAGGATCCCTCAAGTTATCATTACGGCTTTTTTCTCCGCCTCCTGTTACGCTGTACTATGAAGAATCAAATAAAGCAATCAATATATTTGAAGACACAAACCTGAGACAGATAACTACCATTGGCATTGTAAGAGTAATGAAGTGGCTTCATTTTGTTTCTGTAAGTTATGGTGGCAGTTTTGGTAAATTTAATTTTCATTTGTTATGAATCGGTTCATTTGCACAATGTTGAAAATACCTTGTTTAATGCTCATTGATCACTAGCATTGGTAACAGAGCAGTATAAGGCAGTTATCTGCATACATGCACAACTTTACGATGGTGCTATTAATAATATTACTCACATCATTAATAAAAATAACGAAGGTCTGAGCACTGAAGCACTATTACCCTTGAAGAGTGCGTGCAATTAAATGTTAGGACACCTTAAATGTAAATAGTTGGCGATCCAGTTTGGACTCGTTTATTATTGCTCGTAGTTTACATAGAAGCGTCTCGTGGCAGACCTTATCAAAGGCTTTCGAATAGTCAATAAAAAACAACGTCCAGTTGGTTGTGGCTACTGAGTGCAGAAGCTATGTTGTGTGTAAACTGTACAAGTTGCGTGACGGTGAAGAAACCAGAGCAATAGCTATGCTGGCTTTGTGGAAGAAGATTGTGAAAAGGTAAATGCTGTACTAAATGCTTTTGAATAAGGTGTTCAAGAAGCTTACAGCCAGTGGAAATAAAAATATTTGTCTATAATTCACAATAAGTTGTTTATCAACAGATTTAAATACTGGAACATCACTGGCAATTTTCCGAACTTTGGGAACAGTTGACATGTCCAGGAATTTATTGAAGATCACTGTAAGATAATGGACATTCTATTCCGAGTATCTCTTATCGAGCATGTTGGGTATAGCATCAGGTCATGTCGTGTCAGTTTTTAGCAGCAGGTTATAAATGTCAGCGTGAGTGACCGCGAGAACTGGCAATGCATGGTCTGAGCTATGAAAAAGCCAGAGTGAAAGTAGCCTTCAGAAATGGTGACAGGATCAATGCAAGCTTGATCGTTGACAATGAATGCTGTAGGGTCGTGAGAAGAGGAAAGTGTTGAGTTCCAAAATTGCTTTGGGTTATTTTTCATAAACGTCATTAATGGCATGATGTAATAAGAGTTTTTAGCTTCGGTCATTCTCGCATTTAGCTCAGAATTGAGCAATACAACAATGGATCAAGGCGGTTTCTATTCCACATGCACTTTATGCACCTTACAAGGTGGAATATGTCATGTTTGTACCAATGATGCTTCGGGTAACGTTACACATTTTTGAGAGACAAACTGCATCACACAGGTGGTGCACCAAATTATCAAACTGTACTGACAATGCATCAACACTGCATGATTCATTCCGTGCCATAAACCTACCAAAAGAAGATTCCAGTAACCTAACAATCGCTAGCGTGCGTGAAATCGATGCTGAATCTCGGGTTCATAAATTGCATTTAATTGCAACAAGACATCCTTGTGCTCAGATAAACTGCCTATTATGTCACACTCAAAACGATGTTGCAGAAGTTCTTCATTAATGAGCAAAAGGTCGGACGATAAATCACTTGTATTAAGTCAAAAGAAACAGCCCCGTTAATCAGGCTGTTTGAACCCAAATGATGCCATGAATACTCTCAAAATGGTATTACTCATAAAGCAGTAAAAGTACTTGCAAAATTTTAATTGGGTCTAGTTGGGGCGACTCGAACGGAGACAACAGAAATGATGCACAATACAGGACAATAAGTAGTGTACATACATACTTTCATTACCACAGTATATATTTTGGCTCATATCGGTGCAATTTTGACTTGCATGTGTAGATCAGAGCCAACATTATCTTTAGAGACCACACTGTGTACAAGCTGAAGACAAGCCTTTGTTTTTTATGCTGGCATCTGGCTTCTATGCAGGCTCCGTTTTCTCTTTTTTAAGTCTGTAGTGGCCATACGTCATGCTGTTGTGTGCCATTCTTTTCTAGTCTCTGGGAGAGCATGGCAACATGTCTGGCTGTGAATTCATAAAGCAGCTAAACTTGGATTTGTCGTACTAATTCTGCATTTCCTCAGCCAGAGAGCTGCTCATTGGCTGTCCGAAATGAACATTCTGCTAACTTTAGCCCTATTGTCATAAATTATTTTTCGCCGCTTCAGAGGAGATGTGATTTGGAAAAAAAGTTGCACTAATCTGTAGCATAGGGCAAAGGTATTTTTGCTGTATATGTAGGCTTTTATGCTGCTCTCAAATATGTATCGAGTTTAATGGTAAGTTGCACAATTTTCATTTTGTGCCATGAAAATGTGCAGTTCATTTTGGACAAACCTATTATGCCACGAAACCTTTATAATGGCTCATATTGCTCCACATGAACTACAGGATGCATATAAAACATTTTGATGGCCAAGAAAAATTGCAATGTGAGAATTTTTAGAATCCTCAGTCTGTACTAATTGTTTACTTCAGGTACGTAATAATTATACAAGGGATATCAAGTTTTAAAGGAGATACTTGCACCCTTCGCATGTTGAGGATGTGGGCGACATTTCATCCACATCGAGCTATCACAAGTACCAAAATCATGATGTCCAAACTCGAGCAGTTCCCCAAAATTGGACCTTAAGAGAATCACATTTTAAAGGCACGTATAAGCAAAAGCTCATCTATGCAGAAAAGATGTGTTTTTTAAGATGATTTCCTCCATCATGAGAGCTTGGCAATCATTATTATTTTAAGCATATGGCTTTAGTAAACCCCTCATGTGAAATGCAATGGCAAGCAGCTAGGTGACAATTTCCAGAGGACTCGAGACAATGTGCACTTTTTAGTTTTCCAATAGCCATCTTGTGCTCTTATTTCTAGTTTCATTACAATCTTCAGTGATTTTTTTTAGTCGTGAAAGTAGAGGCACTGAACTTGTGGAGTCAAATAAATAATGAAAAATATGCAATTCTGGAAAAAGAAACTTTCATTTTTCAACTCGCATCTCCCCTTTAAAAAAAGTAATGTGAAATGGTTATTAAGGAATGAACAGTGGGGTGAGGCATATACGAAACAAGAAAATGATGCGAATAAAAATTTGTGCATCAGGTCAACAACATTATGATTACATTACCAAAGTATTATCGGAACATGTCTGAACTAACAGCTAATGACACCAGTATCGCCCAAAAAAAGTAGCAGTTTTTCTCTTAAATATTGATATCTGTAGCAATGTGTTAAATTAGTACATGGCATGAGGTTCCAAGCTTTATTGGCCATGTACATATAGTTAACATTTGCTTATAATTCAAATTAATGAGCATGTTGCCATATGCTCATGGGCAAACACGAATACATCTCAGCGAAAGACTGCCTGCAAAAGCATTGGTTTGCCTCAAAATGTGACACATCCCCATCACTCCCGCATATGATGTAATACTTGGATTTTATATGGAACATGATCGAAATTTTCGCCCATACAATTGCTCTTTCAATGAAATAATGTGTAAACAGTGTTTCTGTAACAAATCTTTTATTAACTCACTAAATATAACTCGCAGGGGAAGATTATTGTCCCAGCAGTTGATGTTTGTAATGAAAAAAGCACATTACTTTCACCTTTGCTTACTTTGAATGCCAAACAAAAAATACAGTGGTATCCATATACCTTGTACTACATTTGTTTTGAAAAATTAGTGATGGAGTTTAAACAATTCATTAACAAATTTGTAAGAGTGAAAATGTTACACGATTAAAAGCTAGGATAGTATTTTGATTACTCATAAACTAAGCAGCAAAAAATATTGCCACTCATGCGAGTCCATGCACAAAAGCACCTGCATATAATGTGCTCAATATTCTTTTCCCCAAAAAATAAATGACGAAATATTCTAGTGCTATCAACATTGGCATGACATTTAACTTGTTGAAAAAATTTATAATTCCGTGGTAGCTTCAGATTTGGTTGCTAAAACGGGTATCATGCTCTCTGTCTTAGAAAAGTTTGTTTTGCGATATCTCATGTTGTAAACATATATAATCAAGATCAATAGAAAATGGTATTAAAAGCGTAGACTCAAGCTTACTAATCCGACGTGCTGGAACATGGTTCAACTACTAAACATGTCAGCGCACAATCAGCACCAGAGCGCCCCCTTGCCCCCCACAAATTTTTACCTGCCCCCGTTTGCCTTCCCGGGAACAAAAATACTCGAATACAATGCTTCATTTTCTTGCCCTCCTGAAGGAACACACTTGTCATGTGTGGCCCCCAGTAAGAAATCCTAGCACTGCCCCTGCTCACAATGCATTGGTACAATGAAGTTCACCACAATGATCTTTATGTGTTTCTAAAAATTACAATGCAGACTGTGATAAGGAATTAAAATTTTGGTGTTTTCCAGGTTCTATACTTTATCATCAAGACATTTCCACTTGCAACCATTAAGTTATGCTGTGCAACTCTCTCTCTTACAATAAATGTTGCTACTCATAGTAACTAAATATCAAAAATGTGAAAAATGGTAATTATGGTAGTTCAATATTAAGATAAAATATTTCTTGATGCAATATGAAAATTTTATGCATACGCAGAGGCTGCACATATGAAACAAAAAATGTGAAATTGAAGTGCCTAGCACGGAACAAATTTGAGATGACGTAAATGGGGCGGTTTTTCAATGTGAAGCATTTTTTAGCGAACTTCGGTGATTTTGAGCAGTATCTACCTATTTAGCCGCTTACGTATGGGTGCTCTCATGGTCATCCCATTAACTTGGCGTTAACTAAAATTAGCATGGGACGGTAAGATAGTTTGACAAATATAATGCGCGGGCGAAGACACGAACAATTTCAAAATCTCGTCGCGTGCGTAAAACCTTTCCGCAAAACAGTGGCATATACCCAGGGGCAGGTATGTGTCGCTGGTTTGCTGGTATGTGCCACAGGTGTATAACACTTAGTATCTACTCAGGAATGACGACAACACACATGGGCAATTTCAATGCGCGAGTGTTAAGAAATACCCAACATCGGGAGCGTCGACCCGATGAATGCAAAGAATAAATTTCGGGGTCCTAGCTGGAATCGAACCCAAGCATTTTGCATTGCAATGAAGCATTTTACCTCAGAGCTACGCCAGGTCTCGGAACTACTTTTCGAATAGACGCTAATCTTCATGAAACGTCAATATTAGTTGCAGTGCTGTCTGCCCAATTTTATAAACATTACATGTGTACTCCTTTGATACAGCCATGACGTCTGGTCAATTGTGGTTAGTTGCCATGTGCTGAAGTTGATTTATATAGCAGCGCCCAGGGCCAGCATACTCGTGAGCATCAGCACTTCATGTCGGCTTCTGGTGAACTTCGCTCATGTGTGTATTATGTCTGTTTCTAGTAAAACAGTTTACACATTGAAAATATGTGGCACATGTCCAATTCGAACAATTTAAAGATCCGTCAATTCATCACTCTCATCAGTGGTTTCACATACAACGTCTGAAGTTGCTAATAGGCACTCATAAGGTGAATGTTTTACCTGCAGATATCACATTACATATAGGGTAAAGTGACAAAAACAGTTTTTGACTCTCAAACGGTGGTTTATGAAGTGGCCAACCACACAGCCAGTTTTGAATGTGTGAGAAAATACAGCGCAATAAATGCTCACCATTACTTGCTAGCGTCTGCCAGGCCAGCAACAACGAACTTTGTCTTAGCACAACTAAACAATAGTGGCAAAAAAAAAAATCAGTCTGTGAGACAAAGGTCGTACTCGAGCTCACTGCAGGTTTCTGTAGTAATGATTTCTAGTGAGCCTGGTTGCTAGTTTTTAAACCTGGTAGCTCCTCTGCCGTCATCGGCTGCGCTTCACTTCAGGCGGGTTCACGTTAACACCAGTGCTTTCCCACAACCCAGTGTTGGCTGCACAAACAAGTTTGCTCTGAAAACGTCAGCATCTCATTTCTTGATCTGCGCACGTCGCCAGCATTAGCGAGTGCTGTCCGTAGAGCTGGAGCTGCTCCTGCGGCGAGACCGCTTGTCGCTCCTGGTGCGCTTCCTCCTCTTGCGCTCGCTCTTTTTGCTTTTGCGGCAGTTGTCACGACCCTTGCGCTGACCGCTGCGATCGTCGCTTTTGCTACGGGGTGATCGCGACCGATGCGGTGATGGTGACCGACGAGACGACCGCGACCGATGGTGGTGCTTCTTTTTCTTCTTCTTCGCCTTTTCGTGCGAAGACGAAGATCGCTGACGGCTCGCACCGGCGTCTGCCGACGCCGCAGTGGCGGCCGCAGCGGCACGCGCCAAGTTGAGCTGCGTCAGCGGCGACACGAACTGCTCGTCCTCGCTGTCCTCCTCCGAGCTGGTGCTGCTCACGTCAAGCACGATGTCTTTGTTCGGGTTCACCTTGAGGAAGTTTCGGCACTGGTACGTGAAATGGCCCGGGTAGCCGCACTTCTTGCACGCCGGCCGCACGGTGTCCGATGGCTGGTTGGTGAGCCGGGCCATCACTTCGCGAAGCGTGCTCTCCATGGCTGGGCGGTCGTTCACCGAAGACGGAACCGCAGCTCATGCAAGGGCTCTCTGTTGCCACGGAGAACACACCTCGTTGCAACAGTTCCCCTCGGAAGTACTGCTGAGCCGTGATCACAAAGCCGCGTTGTTGTGCACAGCAGACAAGCAACAGGCTTACTTAAACGAGTGATTTGAACGCTCGCAATGAGCCGTAGACAACGTGACAACGCTCTACGCGTCAAGTTGTTGCCTTCTCCCCGTGTTTTGGCCTTCTCCCCATGCTTCAATTATGAAGGCTTGTCTTGACTTATTTACTGGCTGAGCATCACGGCCCATAAAGCCAAGTTAATCCCTATTTCTACAGCTAAATGCATGACCTACTACGAGTGTAGTAGGTCATGGCTAAATGTCTATTTAGCCGTCTACGGTGAGTATTAAAACCATGAAGAAAGGAAAAGTATAGTTTTTCCTTTCTTCATGATTGGAACATACTGAAACTATTGTGTACTAGAATATACTATACTGTAACTAAGTTAGCTAAACGTTCAACCGTCCAACTCGCTTTAAAGCACATTTTGACGTTATTCAAATTATTCTACGCATACAAGAAAAGCGTTTCACTTTAAAAGTGCAAGAGGAATAATTTATTTTTATTTTAGTATTACGTATGTGCCCATTAAAAAAAGACTAAAAGCATCATCATCATCACGTTGTGACGTCGTCTGCAAAATTAGTTTCTTCACACGAGAAGGCTTGTAGCAGTACGTTCACCTTTGTTTCGTTCTCTTTCCTGCTGCGGTACCAGCTGCTTCTGCCTATAATCGCCTTACTCATCAGCCATGACCTCTCCGTGAACACCGAGTCTGGTGAGCTTCGCAGAATTAGTTCAAGCAGCCGACTCGAGTGCCGGTTTTCGCATGACTTCGATGTAAACATGGGAGCCTTTTGGGGTAGAACGGCTGAAAGCGAGGACACTTGCATATTCTGCAAAATTGCTGCGGGCAAGGAGCCGAAGACAACTCTTCTCTACCAGGTGTAGCTTGGAAAGTTGCACCCACCACAAATGCTCATTCCTATCGTTTCGTTTCAGGACGAAGACTATGTCGTCTTCTCGGACATTCACCCGGCATCGACACATCACTACCTCATTGTTCCCAAGAAGCATGTGAAAGATACGAAATCGCTATCGCGCACCGATATTCCTTTAGGTGAGTGTCTCTTCAAAAGCCCCCCTCACCTTTTACCTTAACTATCCCTTTTATCTACGGTCGCAGACACGTCACTCGCCGCCTTCGAATGGAACTCTGCGTGCACGTTTGTGCAGGCTTTCCGAGTGGACGAATAGCAGTCGTTTACCTTCACGACCATGTTCGACGATCGTCCGACATGTCGCGTTGCAAGACCAACGTCTAGAATATTTTTCTCCGCTCGATACAGCCAACAATTAAACTCTGCATGCATTTCGGGCCTAATCAGTTCATTTTCAAATTTGTGCAAGTATTGAAGTTGACTGCATGATGGCAGGATAATTAGATTGTTACACTACTAAAGCTCTCGCAATATGACGCATTCCTTCATTTTCTTTCTGGGAATGTAATACTGAGTGCCTTGGAATCATGCCATGTGAATTTGACGCATTTGCAGACTGCGTGATAGTTTGTGACTGAAGGGGCTATTTCACTTGTAACCAATGAATGCCGTATGCTTATTCTCTAACGTACAAGATAGAGTGCTGGCACAACTTGGTCGTCTATCTAGATCAACCATAATAAAATCTATGGTTCAACAGTATAGTCCGGTCAGGAGGAGGCATAGTGAAAGGAAGAAGGCACAGAGTCTAGAAACGCCTACCAAAGAAGAAATATGGCTTCAAATGCTCTAAGACGTTTCAGTTGAAATGGCTTGGCATTTTTAAAGCCATTTCTTTTGTGGTCGGCGTTTTTATGTGCCTTTGTTATGGTCTGCTAATGTAACAACTGCACCAAGTGGCCTGCCATAGTGTCACCAATTGAGAAGAATAATTACTTTATCACAGCCTTGACTTATCTACATGCGCATGTCCAAGCAACATTGCCAAAACAGAATTGGCTCCCAAGGAGATGGAAGAAAAATGAGTAATCTGTAATAGTGTAAGTGGCAGTTTGTAAAGGTAGTAGGTCAGTTAGTCAACAAGCTTCATTTGAGTCCTAAGGAACTACAGAGTCGTAGTTGCAAGCCGCGCCCACAAAGGTTTTGGTGCCCTGACTTCTCTTTTGTGTTTCTGCTAGTATATTTTCTTGGTGCAAAGGTAACTTACACACCATTTCATATACGTGGCCTGACATGCTGTAGATTTGAAAACAATGCTGACAACTTTTCTCAAGTATCTGAATCTTGGGTATGTCATCCCTGTGTTGCAACGCAGCTCAATTTCCGCTCCCCTCTTCTTAAGAAGCTGACATGGCATGACAGAAATATGTTGTTTCTAAATAATAACTTCACTTCCAATTCCGCTTTCTTGCAGTAAATCATCTTGTTGAGATTGGGAAGCAAGTGCTGGAACAGTGTGGTGGAAGCATGGATTCCTGCAGGTACGCACTTATTTAGGTGCCATTTATTGTAAATGGGGGTTAGTCTTGCAATTTCTCTAACCCTTTCTGTTTTGATGGGTCCCTTTTGCACTGTTTAATTAATAATGAGAAACTAAGTGCATGTCATTATGAAATAAGAAACGAGTGTTGCTCGGTGAGAAATAGTGTTTTATCAGAGGAACAATCTATTCAACTAAAGTGGGCAAAGCGTTGCCTGTATGTGTTAGTCGAGTGCAAATCTTCTGTTATGTTGCATATTTAACATTGTGATTTGTTGCTCTGGGAATGTGATTGTGTATTCGGGTAAGATTGATCTGGTTGTCTTTGGTGATCCAGCATTTTTCGTTAGAGCGGACTGTATGCTTTCCCATTCACTTGTCATTCTCTCTCGTTGCCCCTGTGTAATTGTGCAACCAGCAAGCGGCTGTCTACAAAGTGGTCTAATAATTGATGTTCATTACTGATCACTTAGCCCTACAAAACATGAGAAATTAGGTGGTTCTGCGCATCAAGTTTCCTAAAAAACTAGAGGGGACTCTGCTTCTGCAATCATTCAGCGACCATGGGAATGATGGGTAGTACACGGATTTGCTTAGTCTTTGTACTTGCGGGCGGGGAATCGCACTTGTGACTTCATTTATTGCTGTGTTTCGGTTTCATTTTGAAAGAAAGAATGAACCCCTTTGAACTTCATGACCCAATTTGAAATGGTAAGCATCAAAGAATAAGGTGGAGAAGCGCAACCGCTGAACATTTGCTGATTTTTGTTTTGTGAGAAAACATCTCCAAACCACATGAATACACATGGAGCTAAAAATACGAAGATTAGACAAATCCATGTACTATCCACTATTCCCATGCTCGCTGAACTGTGCATTGCAGCTCCCATAGACACTAGCGCCAGAGTTCTCTCTAGTGTATATTTAGGAAACTCTATAGTTCTGAGGGAGGTCTACATTTTCACAGAGCTGAAAATGCTCTATAGCTTTATCTGCACAGAGCCAAGAATTTACCTCATTAAGACAATAAGGCCGACTTAAACATCTCATCATCTCGCTATAACACTTTATGCCTATCACATTCCCGTAAGCTTTATCACCATTCTTCACTTCGTGTTGATTTTTCTCAGTTACCACCTGATATTTTTCTTTGCTCTGTTGTTGTAATATAGTACTATATTGTTTATGTTATTGTGTCCTATTTTTTGTTATGACATTTAATCAGTAACCAATGCTGATCTGCCCCTTCCCCATGTAATACCCTATAGTGATGAGGGCATCGTGATAGTAATTATAACGCAGAATCTTCTAAAACAAGGCCATGTAGGCTATAACACATAGCAAATACATTATCCTAGCAAATACACACTATGGACTGCGCAGAAGAAGTGGTTGTCTGTTCATTCATAAAGTGAGCTAGCCCAGCTATGAATTGTCTCGTAGGATGGGCTTTCACTGGCCTCCCTTCACGAGCATCTCCCACCTGCACCTGCACGTGATTGCCCCCGTGGCAGATATGTCCATGCTGGCCCGTCTCGTCTTCTGGCCTCGAACACCATGGTTCAGTCTGGTCAGTGCATTCTGTCCATCGTGTGACTTTGCAAACAATGCATGGCAAGTTTATTTGTCAGCGATCACTGAAAAATATCAGGCATCGTTTCATCTAAGTCATGTTGTCCAAGCATATAAGATGTCGAAATTACTTGTTTGTATTACAAACAGTTTACGGTTATGCTATATAATTTTGTGTTCAAAATCAGGACCAAAGATTTCCCCTATTTAGTGGCTTGCTATCTTTAGCAGTTGATCTGGAGTTTAAGTTTTACAATAGTGTTGCCAAATATTGAGAATGCAGGTATATAGGGGCTGTGCCTTAGTTAAGGTACCTTATATGCATTGTGTAATATACAACATATATGCAAACCTAATGCACCATATCCGTTTAGTCTCAAATTTTCAGTAAGGTGGGAAAAAATTGTTTTTTTTGAAGAAGCATGCGAAAAATTATGGAGACTGTAAGTACAATGGTGTTCATGGTGGAACCATTTCCAGTATATTGGACACTAGGATTCCTTTGTTGCATTGATTGGTTTACACGCCCTTCTAACTTCCTTTAAAGAGTGTTAATTTTTGTCCCGTCAGAACAACACATGATAAATACAGTATACGGCTAATCATCTTACAAAACCAGAAACTGGTTTGTTTTAAATCCGGGAAAAAGAAAAAAATCTTCATGGTTAACACTCGCACATGGCCCCATAAAGGCACACTAAGCGTCCACAAGCCTACTTCCTGAGACGGTGCTTCGTCCTCGCGCTGTTGCCTGAAGCTTATTCCAAGTTTTCTTCTTTTCTGCATGTTTGGCACGATGCAATACAAATTAATCGTGGTGTCCAGTGTACTGGACATAAAAACTTTCTCGCATTGCGAGCAAACTACTGGTTACAAAGGCGACCTTTTTGCCTCATTGTTTCAAGAGGACATCAGTCAGCTCGCACGAACATTTGAATTGCATGAAGAGAGCTTCTAAAATAATTTTTCATATATAACCATGCGCACGCTTTTTCTCGTGGATGACACTCATGTTCTAAGTGGAACTGACCGAGGAAAAACATTTACAATTATATTGCTTGCCTCTTACAGAAGCTGCAAAAGTGGTTTCGGCTGCGATTGTGGCTCCGCATGCTTTTCTGCACCGCCTTTTTTCGTATGTCCAGTACACTGGATGGAAATGGATATGCATATATGCTGTTTTATACAACGCGTATGTTTTATAAGGTACGCTAACCAAAGAAAAGGTCCTAGATGGTGTCTAAAAACTCGAGTTTTTAACCAAAGTTTGCAAAGGGCTATGGTTATGTGCCCTTCGTGACTCTAGTGCCATGTTATTAGTGTGACTGCAAGGTTGCTGTAGCACTGCCCGGCTCTAATCGTAGTCATTGAGGCTCAATTTGAAGGAGCTGAACATACATGCTAGCTGAATGACATTCAAAGCAAGAAGCATTTGATCAGAGCTCGTGTGGTGGCACCATTCCCTCTTGCCGCAGGTGGAGGACACCATCAGCTACTTGGAGCAGTTGCAACCACCGGCCTCTTCTTGAAGCACTACCTAATAGTATTGTCACCTTGGGGACCATTTCTTCCCATCTTGTATCTCGTTGCTCGTCTGCATTCCATGTTTTTGGCTGCGATCACCTTGTCCATCGGCTACCAGGGGTGACTCTGTTACTGCTGAAGTTACATTGAACAAAAAGTTCCAAAGAACAATTGCGCTGTATTGAAGATGCAGTATTAAGAACAGTGAGCTCAGAGAGGACTAACTTAATGTAGCCGTTTGAGGTGACTGTGCCCTTTGGAAAATGAACAAGTTTGTTGTTGCGGTAATTGCATGCTATGCACAATTGCATGCACTTACTTGTTGCCTTTTTGTTATCTTTCGGTACATATTTCTTATGGCTAACCCCTGAATTAACGTCATATGGCATCCAGCCTGAAGTCGCTACTGTTGTTCAGCAGTACACACAACACACAGCCTGCAATCTAAAGAGCTTACACATTCTCAGAAAAAAAGGTTTCTGGAAAAGTGCCTGGGAATATTGTGTTCATTAGACTGCGAGCATTTATTAAACAGCTGGATTAATGCATATTTTTCTATGTAGACCATCTAAATAAAGCTGTCTGATTATAGCAAGACTTGTCACTGGCATTGGAGGTCTGCAATGTTCTCTCAGTAGTGCACTATTTTTCATCCTTCACACCACAACCGAAGTTGCCCACTGTGTCAAACAAAAAGTGTGGTTACCATTACTGTGACATTTTATTTAATTACATGACTTGTTTTTGGCCAATGTCTAGACCTTGTGTGACAGTACATATGTGGGCATTTGGTCATCGAATGAAGGGGAGCAAAGTGTGCCTGCCCACCCCCCCAAATGTGAAAGCAACAAGCTTCATATCGGATGCAAATGAAGTGGTCTCACAAAAGCCAGCTTTTTTGGGTAAAGGTACGGCATAAGCAGTTTCTTGAATGTAACATCATGGGTCCTTGGTCGTCATTATATATAATAAAAAAAACATGCATATCCACAAGTCTGCACATTGAAAAATGGCGTGGAAGGTCTGACTTGGGAAGATATAAGGGAGAATAGGTTCTCCCCCTTTGATGATTCAGGGTGGTGCATCACCCCCCCATGCAACCGCCTATGCTTATAGAACCCTATGTTTATAGAATGCTAACTATACGCACACTGTACAGCTGTGATTTTCATCTTTGCAGAGCGTACATTTTTATCCAATGCTGGAGCAGACGAACAATATATTTAACATAGGCAAAAGACAAACACAAAATGTCTCCCTCACATTAATCAGCTCATGACATTAAAAACAGCTTGAGGGAAAAGGAAACAAGGCCAGTGCCACCTCGTATTTCTTCCTGACGGTGTCTATAGTACAGGGGAGAAAATAATTCCGAGATCCGTGAAACCGGGGGGGGCTTCACTGTCAAATTTAGAAAGTTACAATTTCACCGGTATTTTGTCTGTTTATGGTGAAATTTGAAATTTATCTATGTTAGACAGATTCTATATTGCTGAAACATGTTGGTGGGTGGGCTAATTGGTTCGCATCCATGAAAAATGAGTAAGCACAACAGACAAGGAAAGAGCACTGTCTTCTACGTCCTTGTTAGTACTGACACTTCACCATGACCAGGTCATGTGCACGTAGCGCTATCTTGCTTGCTTGTTCCTTGATTTATGGCTCCTACCTACCACGGTGGATCGGCCATAAAACCGGTGGGTAATATAAGCGGAATTTCGGGGGCAAAGTTCCCTATGCCGGTGGTTGTGCGTGCGTGATGTACGTAGTAGTAGTAGTAATAGTAGTAGGTAGCCACCTTCAAGGTCGGACTGGAGGAACGGCATGCGCATACCCTTTTCAATTGAGCAGGAAATCGGCGCACGTTAATCATAAATAAGAATTATTGTTTTTAATGAAATAACTTACAGAGACGAGTACTTGTGACATAATCTCCAATAAAATTTGCCTTGAATTTGATACTAACTAAAGAAAAAACTAGTATCAGAAGGACGCACGTTGAGCACTATCTGACGAGAAAGGGTTGCCATGTTAAACTCCCTGGGCATAACCTCCTTGGTTTTTGCAAGGTTAGCGAGGGTTGGGCCGCAGTGCCATAACTAGTATATAGCCATGAACTAGAAGCGGTGAAAGGTGGGAAGTAGACAGGAAGCGCTGGCAGTTATAAAGCGCGCGAGTGGCACCTTCTCGTTCAGTCCTGAAGATGCCCTAAGAGAAAAAAATGTTTTGCGGATTCTGAGTAATTTTAAGTTTCTGAATAACTTTCTCTCATTGGCAACAGCGATGGTCTACCGTAACTAATGGGAAATAGGCAAAAAAGGATTATAGCTGATGAGAAAAGCTACTTATAAAAAACGACTCCTGGTTATGTGCAGAATAGACGCACTGGGACATTCTAGTGAAATTGCAGTGTCGCACTACAGACTGTGTGGCTTCCCAAAATGTTCAAAACTTAAGGGGCTGCATGTATTTCTAATGGGCAGTGTTTAAATGTCATGGGAAGCCACGTGCTTACTGTATGTAATTTTACCACCATGTTTTACCAGAATGTTCTAGTGGGTTTCTGCTCTGGTAATCGGGAGCCATTTTTGGCAACTAGCTTTTTGTTTCGCCAGATGTGAATTTTTTTGTCTATTTCCCATTCAGCTATGGCAAGACACCGTTGCTGCCACAGAGAGGTGGTGCCAAGTACAAATGTACCTTTAATGTACCAAAATGCTGGCAATAAAAATTTATGTATATATTCCCATTGTTCACGCTATGTTATGTTTTTGGTCTGGTGTCTAGCATTTCACTTGTGTGTTTCCTTGAAAGTGTTGCCGATTGGTAGCCAAAGTTTCGATGTCTAAACGTCTGTTTTGTGTCAAAGCGCCTATAAATACTTCCGTGTTCCTCCCAGACCACGTCGCATGTCATGATCGTGGCTGGTGCAGCCACTTGCCAGCTTTGTGCACATTTACACCAGAGACAACTCGCCGGGTTGCACCAGCCTAAATAGACGCCCTCGTTATTTTGGCGCCTGTTGATTTGGAGAATCGGGTGATTCGAACGTGTTTTTGTGGTTGCGGCAACGTTTGTCCTAAACCTGATTGATTCGGACGATAGCGAGCACGACGTGCCTGTCCTGACGGCCGGCTGTGGGCTTTCAGAAAGGCGCGTGGTTGCCATGCGCATGCTTTCTACAAACACATTGTTGGCGGCCAGGGCTTCAGCTACTGCGACAATCATTTTGGGTTTTTGCTCGGCGCACAAAAACTGCAATAACTTAAACCATTAACGCACTGTGTTGAGTGGTAAATCGTGCATGAACGAAACCTATGCGTGTTTGATTCTGAATATATAGGTGGTCCGATGAGATTAAAAAAAAAATGCACAGCATATCCACGGAGTGAATGATGATGAGTGGGGTGAAGCGTCTGTCCATTCGTCCGTGTGTCCGTCCGTCCGTCCGCTCCTATCACACTTGAGCGTGCATCATACAAGTAGGCGATCACGTACCACGAGAGAGGGGATGGACAGACCCACGGCATTAGGAGCTTCGCCCCTGAAGTATAACAATAGGCGTGCGCAGGGTTCCCGTTCAGGCGGGGGGGGGGGGGGGGGACGTCATTGCAGCGCTCCTCCCCCTATCAGGTCCCGCCCAATAGCCAATGTATGGAGCGAATTTCGCGCTCCCCTCTTAGGTGAATAGGGGGGCCGCCCGCCCCCCTCGTGCGCACTCGATCCTATGGATATAACAAGGCAGCAGAAAGCACGACCGGGTTGATTGGCGGATCATGGGAGAGGCCTTTTCTTTGCAGTGGGCGTAGTCAGGCTGACGGTGATTATGATGGGTGTCCATGATTGCGCCAACAGCGATGGTGGTCAAACCTGCAACAGTTTCGGTTTCGCCACGTGTCTTCAAAACTGCGTAGGTGCGCCGTCCACGATTGTGCAAATTAGCGAGCCAGGTTTATTCAGCTGCAGAAGCGGCGTCCAGCCGTTTCGTTTCAATGCTGCCTTCAGCGCTGCGTGGACGCTATGACGGTGTCTTTAGCGTCCAGTTTCGTCCACCGCTGACATATGCGGCGCTCATTTTGAGCAACGCGCGCGCTTTGTCGTAAAATTCAAACATGACGGAAGCTGTTGAACTCCTCACTGTTGAAGGTGACTAGAGAGGCATGGGGGATCATATAGAGCCTCTATGGCTGGCCCTACTACGTCTAGTGCTCCACTGGCGCGCCCACCGGGCTTTATCCTGGAGCGTGAGCTGCACTCCTGGTTCCGAAATGGCTGGTTGTGCCTCCCGCTTATTGGCGTAAATCATGGCGGGACCTTCGGCCCTTAATTGTGTTCAGGGTCCCCTGCAAGTTCCCCTTGAGGACACATAAGATATTTGAGTTAGTTGAGCATTCAACTCTTTTTGAAGGCTGATTTTTTTTTTGTGTGTGTGCGTTCCCGCGTTGAATGCCTTCAAGTGTGTTAGACTCTGAAAATTGCAAAAGCCGCTCGACAGGTTCGAAGAAGACAACGCTATTACTCGACCTTGGACCCCATGCTCGTTCTTAAAAGTTTTATTTCATATCATGCTTCAATTGTAATGCAAATAAATATGAAACCTATATTGAAAACGAAAGAAAATGATGTGCGTCCTCCCTTTGTAATTTCTCTTCCATAATTTTCAGCCGCGCGGTCCGCGTGCTAACGTAAAATTCGCTCGCTACATTGCGATAGACGAGCGAACAGTAGCCGGCCATTGTTCGGGCGAGAAAATTATCATAACGCGCGCATGGTGGTGTTAGTGGTCGTGGTACATGCTCAAAGCACGTTTCAGCCTATAAGCATGCAGTCGCATTGAGGGTCAAGTCGCAAAAGACAAAAATTGCGGGTTTAATAAAAAAAAAATTTTTCACGCAGTATGAATACTGGATATGCGTATATACATCGAGACAATAAAAAGGCATTGATGTAACGGTCACTTGTTTATATTCATGATACTTTCGATGATTCGGCATTCGTCGAATTCTCACCTTTTTTTTTTTTTCTCCCGTGAAATCCAAATTAACGAGTTTTCTCTACGTGAAGCACACGAATTTTACCCGCCCGCTTCCTCTCCCCACTGGTAAGACTAGTTGATACGCCTCCGATCACTCCGTCAATGTCGATCTTTGACGTGAACTAGTTTTCCGAGTGTTCTCCCAAAAGGTCATTGTGCTTTCGTAGCTGCCATATAAATTCCGCAACAATACCCGTGTGACCGCAATGTTCTCTTGTTGAAAATGTACGTGTCATTTTGTAGATAGTGAAAAAGGACAGACGTGCAATCTGGCCTGTCTGGCGTGTGTTTTATTTATGTGTTAGTAAATCATTCCTTTTATTACGATGTCTCGAGTACTTCAAGGACTCCGACGAAGACAGCACTGTGATGTTGGAACTTATTGGTGTGGAAGCACACCAATAAGTTCTGCGTTTCATCGTGTCTCTTCAGACGGTCGCCAGAAAACTCTCGTCGTATACCAGCGGGCACGTGCCTCAGAAATTGAGAAAGTCTCCCTATTCGCCTCTGCAGACGACGAAGACGGCGACAGTTAGCCAGTGCCCCAGAGTGGGTGTTAGCCATGCTTTTAGGCCATCAGCACACAAACGGACACATGGAAATGGAAAGAGAGAAGTCATGCGGCATACACCTGCAGCGAAATGAAAGAAGCGGAGCACGACTCAGAAAAGGTGTTGGGGAAAAGCGCACGGGACGAAAAAGGTCCGAGTCACGTGACGAGAGGACCAATGGGAGCAGCCGGCGGCGGCCGCAGTCGATCGCGACGCTGGGAAAGGCATGCGTCGTCGATGGGGAGGGAATCACCGCCGACGCTGCAATGGCGTGAGGCGAGCGCGGCACCGAACTGGGCCGCGGCGTGGCTGCTACGATGGGCTAGAAGAGGCCCCCGCCGAGTCGCCGCCGGAAGACCGCGCTCGGAAGCACGGCGACCATTCCGGTGAGCTTTCTCTTGGACTCCACGGGTTATGGGACAGCAGCGGATATGCATTCGGACTGATCTCGTGATTGGTGGCCCTTGCCGGTGTGCTAGTGGCACTGTCGACGGGAAAGCCTCGAAAATCAGCTGCATTCACTGCAACGTGATGGCGATTGGCGGCCACGTAGTAAAGTGCTCGCGATCAGTATTAAAGAGGCCGCCAGCCGATTTTTCAGGATTTGACGACCCTCCCGAAATACCCCGATGAGCGAGGAACGGTGGTAAGGCCTTCCAGCCATTCCGAAAGAGACATTGTCGGGTTTTATGCTGGTCTCTATAGTTTTTGTGTCTTGCCTATGCAAATGTGCTGCCTGAAAGAACCGTGGTTGCTTTCGTTCCGTTGTGTCGGTCTCTCGACATCGGGTATAAATGTCTGCATGATAATCGTCGTACTTGCGGCACATATGCGCTCACCCTTGCCTCTCATCGCGAGGAACTTGTCGCGTAGATGTGCTTTCGAGAACGTTCCGGAGTTCGCGTATCATTATTTTGCAAAGTAATCCGAGTTTCTCGATTCGTACTTCTATTGCCGACTTTCTGGCCATACTGAATTGCGCGGCCTCAATTATAATATGAAGACGTGCAGCTTCGAAATTAGCAAAGACTGCAGTTTAACTTTATCGCGAATAAAATGTTAATGATAATGCCCGTGACATGAAACATACCCGAAGCTGGATTGCATAAAGATGATAATATATCTCAAGTTCAAAGTCCTTCACTATAATCTAAGTACACGGGCCGCTGGCAGTTCGCCTCCATCGGAATTCGACCGGGATTGAACCCGCTACCTTACGGAGCACCGTTACCGCGGAGGCGGCAGACGAATTGCAGAAAAGGTGGACATTACTTAGGCCGAAAATCCAAGCGTATATTTTACTAATTACGAAAAATCCATGGGTAAGTTTATCGCAGATGCGCGGCAATATGCGAAATGAAGTGCTTCGGAACGAGTTTTTAAACCACAACAGCATTTTGGGAATAAGCCCTGTGAAACTTGCAAGAATAGTGCACTGTTATGCCGTGTAGTTTTCTAACAAAACATTCTTGAGCAATACTTCATTCGCATATCTATAGGTTCGGACAGAGTTACGAGGAAATTTATGAATTTGGATAAAGCGAATAAGACAGATTTCGAGACACCACTCAGTTAGCAAAGCAGTCTCGCTGAAACGTCCGCAAAAAATCCCCAGTGTCGTTGTTTATAAGCTGCGTCCACCGATGGAGACTGCCGCCGCACGGTTCGCCGGCGTAGTGCGACATGGGCATCTAAATCTGGGGTCCACGTTTGCACGTTGATTCTGGCGCTGGGCATTCTTGTATGATCTGTGACAGGCTGCTGTGGTTCGACTTTTTTTTACTCCCCCCCCCCCCCCTCCAAAAAAAAAGAGATACTACAGCATATCAGCCAAGAAGGCCAGCCCTTATTAGATCAACCGGCTTGCTTTGCACGGCTAGCGTAAAGTTCCTCACCTGCCTGGTCCACCAACGCTGAAAACGTTCGTGAAAGTTTCATCGTCCCTTGCCAAAAATGACCAGGCTGCAAAGCATTTGAGACCGCACTGCTTTATTGTGGCTCGCAGGCCGAGTCGTCTTCAAAGCGACCGCGGCTGCTGGCGCTGTGCTTGGCGGTCGCCTGCGGCACCTGCTTCCTGGCGGCGCAGCTGCTCGTGCCCCCGCCGCCGCTTGCCGCGACGACGGCCGAGCGGCAGCCTTCGGCCGCTGCGCCGCCCTCAGACGCGCGGCGGCGGCGCCTACCGCAGTGCCTCATCATCGGCGCCCGCAAATGCGGCACACGAGCCCTCCTCGAGTTCCTGGCGCTGCACCCGTCCGTGCAGAAGGCGCCCGACGAGGTGCACTTCTTCGACGACGACGAGCGATACGCCCTCGGCCTGGACTGGTACCGGCGCCGCATGCCGACCTCGCGCGCCGACCAGCTGACCGTGGAGAAGTCGCCCGCGTACTTCGTCACCGAGGCGGCGCCCGGTCGCGTCTGGGCCATGAACGCCTCGCTGCTGCTCCTGCTCATCGTGCGTGACCCCGTGGTGCGCCTGGTGTCCGACTACGCGCAGCTGGCCGCCAACCGGCGCCAGCTGCAGCGCGAGGACGCGCCGCCCTTCGAGAGGCTCATCCTGCTGCCCGACGGCGCCGTCAACGCCGAGTACCGGCCCGTGCGCACGAGCATGTACGCCGTGCACGTGCGTCGCTGGCTGTCGCACTTCCCGCGACGCCAGCTGCACGTGGTCGACGGCGACCGGCTGGTGCGCGACCCGCTGCGGGAGCTGCGCCGCGTAGAGGCCTTCCTGGGCCTGCCGGCGCTCATACCGAGCGGCGCGCTCTACTTCAACCGCACGAAGGGCTTCTACTGCCTGCGCCCGAGGCCCAACGACACCGCGGGCGGAGGTCGCTGCCTCAACGACAGCAAGGGCCGCCGCCATCCGCACGTCCCAGGCCCCGTGGTCAGTCGACTGCGCCAGTTCTTCGCGCCCTTCAACCGGGAGTTTTACCACCTCATGGGCAGGGACTTCGGCTGGCCCGAACAATAGGATTGCTAGCTCGGTCTGCCCGATGGTCGGTTCGAGACACGTTTACAAGAATCTTCGTTGCGGTTTTCATTTGTAACGTGGAGTACAGCGCCTTCTTCTTGGCAAGCACTCCTGTCTGCGAGGGCTCCACTTCGAGGAGCGGAGACGAACAAAAAGGTTTCACTCGAAGAAACAAAAACCCCTCGAGGACGTCACGCCTGGGTGGAGGAAGCGCTTTTCTTGCATGCCTCGCCAAAACATCGAGGTTATTTTATATTGTTGACAGCGTATCCCGTGGACGCAGTATTCCCAACTAGTGCGTCGACTAACTCGATGGTAGAAATCAGACGGTATACTCCAAGTTGGGCATTTCACTTCTTTTATTGGAGTCGCGCTCGGAAATCGGTTGCATAACGTTTCCTTGCACTTGAGGTGCGCTTAGAGAATGGAATGTTTACGCTTCACTTGACTATACACGCGGTATGACTCGTTCATTCGAGTGCTGCCGTCAAGACTGGTGTCATGCATCTATGAATGCCGATGTTCATTCGACGTTCAAAACGTGACTGCTGAGATGTTTCGAGACAATCATATTTCTCTTCCGGTAGATGACAATCGTAGCCTTTTTCTGAGACAGGTTGTTATCGAACTTGGGTTCCCCACTGTTACGTATTTTGAGGCGAAACGACAATCAACTTTGCCAGTATACGGCACAACGTCAGCTACTCGAGCCGCGTCTTACCTCGAATACTCGCATAAAAATCAATGTCACAGTTTATGTTCACTTTCGAAAACTCCGCATATATGTGATCTACTTGCAGCATATACTGAAGATTGTGAAGTATGTTAATTCGATAGCATGTAACCTCGGTGCTATAGAGAGTCAACTCGTGGTCGCCAGCAAGTACGGAATTTAGCATGTGATTCAGGAAACTTTGTAACACGAGGTTGCGGCGATTTTTATAAACATGTTTTCGATGCTATCCAATCGGCTCCTTCGGAAGAAGTATTCGACGCTTTTGCGAAATTAATAATAAGAATTATCCCAAAAACACGTCACGATTATGATGCCTCGTGCTTTTAATGTGCACCCAAGCACGCGGGACATTTTTGCCTCCACCGAAAATTCGGCCACCGCATTCTGAATCGATAGGCAATTAGCAGCCATCAGCCGTGCAACAATCAGGAGCAGCGTTTCGCAATGGCGTGTCCATGACTCGGAGAGATGTCGACAATCATATTGTTCGCCTTATGACCCTCGCATATACACACTCACTTTGCAGACAATCAAGAATTTTGCAAGGGTGTCGTCCCGTAGCATTTTGAGAGCTTCTTTGTGAGCTGCCTTTCTGAGACAATCATTTCACTTTTGCGAATATCTACACACAACCCGGCGACGTTCTTGATAGCCTTGACGAGTGCCAGCCGGATCGGTGTGAAATAGTAATACAAACTTTAGCTATTTTCATCTCTTGTGGTCTCGTGTGGCGCTTAAATCATTTGATCTTCTTATCATTAAGCCCTAACCACACGCAACCATCACAATGCGTCAGCACGTCCTCTCCCTATAGAGAGAGAGAGGGCACGCGCTGGCGCGTTTTTATGGGTACGAGAAAGGAGGCAGCATGACGTAATGCAGCCTGCCTCGGCTAGCCAACCAGTTTTGAAGGCAGCAGTGTCGGTCAAACACAAGCGACGAGACTGGCCGAAACCTCGGGATATGGCACCCGGTAGCTTTTAATCGAAACGCACACGATAGGCGCGGACCGGCCAGCTCGCAGAGGAGGTCAAAAACGAAACGCCGTGGAGAGTACTTACGTGTTGGACCGACACGGTGGGCTTCAGTAGTGTGATGCTCCCTCCATGTGTAAAACTTAATTTTAACCATCACTACAGGATCCATAGGGTTATGTTTGGGTATGTCAAATGAGTTACCAAACATATGCCGCAATAATACAATTTTAATAGTTGCACCAGTTTGGATGGGCACTTGTGCTTCTGCAAAGACAATCAATGTACGGGTGCAGATGTACATCACCGAGCATATAGAGAGGTCAATAAAGAGAACAAGTGAAGTTACTTGTGTCGTTTCATTCACTCAACCGAATTGGTAGACTGAAATCGATAAAGGCAACTTTCATTCCAGGTGGAAACTACAGAAAAATAACAAATTCACAAATTGCAGCGCACCGGTAGCGAACAATGCTCCCGACTGGAGTCAGCGCTTTTAGAGAAGGAGAAAAGCGAGAAGAGGAAAGGGACACGTGCATCCTGCATGCTCCTTGGCGATTGTGACGTCACGCGCGCTGACAATGCATTAAAAATACAGCCATATGTTAAAAAAAATACGGAAAATTCTCTGTCTATCGGAACAGTTGAATTTTTAGAGTAGAAGTTCGCAGGTTCGTCAATTTTTCACATTTTTTTAAGTATATCTCTTTAATGCCCCCCCCCCCCCCTCCAGACGTCGAAATTCAGTTGCAGTGGGGAAGTTGTGCGCGAGTGTACAACAAACACAAAGCCGCGAGAATTTTTCGAAACGGTTTATCGAAACTCGTCAATCGCTGCTCTCGCTCTTCCCTTTGCGACCCTGCACTGACATCCTCTCTTAAAGCCGCTTTGCACTCTCGCCGAACGCCCCTTGTTGTTGGCAAACCACTGCTGCCGTGCCGGTAGGAACCACAGCTGTGCAGCAGTCGCTGGTTCGCAAGCGCGGGCAACACGACGAACAACAAGTAGCGCGGACTAACCAGAAGTCGTAGGCTCGATCAATCACAGCATCAATGTGCTGCGAATCAGCATAGTGATTCAAGTTTTCGCCGTCACTCGGAGGAAATGCCCAGAGAGGAGGAGGGTTCTCGGAATTTGTGGCGTATGGCATCGTTGATCGTGACGACATTCAGCACACGCCACGCGATGCGCTTGTTCGCTTGAAATGTTTGCAAAATATCGCTGGTGGTTTAGGGGCCTTCGAGTGCTTCGTCTTTTTGCGTCAGCTCATCGGCCCACCCCAGGACTCGGTCCCCGAAGGTGATATCGTCGCTGCACAGGATCGACGGATGCTATGAGTACCCCCTTTATAACGGGGCGGTGACATGTGTGCCACCATGCAGGCTCGCAAGAAAAAGAAAAGCACTCCTTCCCTCTTCGTTATCGTAGTCCACCTCCTATTTATCACCAATTAGGGCAAATCAGTGTGATCACACGTTAACAGCAAGCATTCTATGAAGGCTTTCTGGTAGTAAAAACGAAAAAAGTCAATACCACGCCATATCTGGCCGCTCGGTGATGCATGGGGCGCTGTCGGAGTCCCGCCTTCGGACGGCGCAGCAGTTGGCGCTTTGACGTTCGCGTGTCTTTCCAGGTCAAAGTTCTGCGGTGTTTCTTATTACAAATGGGGACATTGTGTACAAATAGTGGTGGTGTTCAAGCCTTGGACGCCCACGTTTCTCTTCTTATATAGTCGGATTCCAACCGGGACTAACAGCAAACAAATTAATTTATTTTTGCTTTTTCACACAAAACTGCTGTTGCCGTCGCTTGTTGGAGAAATGCCTTGGACTCTTTCTCAGTGGTTTAGGTCTCGTATCTTTTTATTGCGCATATATACCTTCTTTAATTATTTCATGATGACATGTGCGCTTGCGAAATGGGAACTCATACCGACAACTTATAAGCGCAATAAGCCGAACTAAAAGAAAGGCGATATGCAGAGCGAGTACGTCATGTGTGTTCACTGTTCATGAAACGAAAACAATTTCGCGTATATTGTTAAGCACGTACTGCACGAATTGAGTGGTCCCTATAACTCAATAAAACGAAACGTAGCAAAGCGAAGAAATAATTGCAGTTCGAGATGAGGAGGGCGAGCGGTCAACCGATGGCATTGAGTGACTCATAACTTGTTAAGCGTTTTTCAATCGCTCCACGAATCTACCTTGCACGTGAAACAGTGATAAAGAAAAGAAAGCATGCACAGTACATTTAGCTATTCTGTGTTGTGTACGACCGAAAAGATTTAAATTACCATCCATCATTTGCGCAAATAATGCCCACTTGGCACCTGATTCGCGCTCATTCCTGCAGCCTTAATAGTTCTAAAGAACGAACGCATATGGTGGAGAAAGCCGAAAATACGAACGACGACACGAATCATGAGAGCAGTTATATGCGTCTGATGGCATGAGAGGATGCTACACATATGCGTCTGAAAGTATTTTGTGCGAATGTTTTTCTAGGTAGAGTTTGAGGAACAACTTATTTCTCGCGTAATTATATTGTCTGCCCATAAATAGTGTCATTTGAACTAAATATGAACTTCGCTGACTGTACGTGCGTTAAAAAAAAAAAAAAACCGTAAGCATACTAACGTGTGTGATGAATTTTCTCTCTCGTTCTAAAAATGTCATTGCGTTTTTTTTTTACTGTGTCACACACCGAAAACTAATCTCTATTATTCAGAGACTTAGCTGCTCTAAACATGGTATGATGTTTTCATTCTCAGAAACGTTTTACGTACGTGCGGGAAAACTGAGCTTACATATAGTTCATGCATTTGTGAGAACAAGTTAAGATATTTATACTATATTGAAAAGCCCTTCCAAACACACAAAAAATTTAATATTCCGCCGTTTAGTTTTTCTTCAAGCAACCGCGTCCTGTTCAATGACTAGTGGCTGGTTCTGCCACTGTCAGAGCCCTGAAGATAAATGACGTTGGATGTAAGGTTTGGTCTGTTAAAGGTGGTTCAGTCTCCGCCCACTTAAACAGAATAAGTAGTTTATCCGTGAGAACAATAAAGAAGAGAAGGCACAATGCGCCACCGATCCCCCAGTCTACGCGAGTGCGCCACGAACGCGCTCCGATGGACTGCAGCGCCCTCAGCGCACGCATCAGCGGCACGGACACGGCCTTGCATGGGGACCAAAGTGGTAGGTGTTCAGTGTGGGGACCGCCAAACGCCCGCAGACGGCACTCTGTATATGAACTCTATGATAGTAGTTAGTATATTCTAGGGAGCACTAGCGATCAAAACTGCCATAACCGAACGGCTGTAGAAACGTTATTTACGTAGAATAGAATGTGCCCTTTTTATCCCTTTTATTGAGTATTTCTTGATGGTTTATACCCCATACAGGATGCAGCCGTCACCTGAGTATTCAAATATTTAGTGAACTTCGCCGCGTAAGGATTTTCAAGAGCGAAATGCGTCAACAACAAAAACTTGCCAACTTTCGAATTTAAACGTTCGCGCTATAAGCGTATTTGCATTCGAAAGTTAGAGTGGCAGCTGTGAAAGAGTGAGAATTGATTATAATCTGAACTAGGCCCGCATACCTACAAAAAAGTGTTTTAATTGAAAGGTAGAGATAATTCAGCACTCACTTGTCTCAGTTGTCGCTTGCGCGACTCCGCGATTGGTGGGTTTCGGCGTGAACTCGTTTACCCGCCATTTTGAATGAAGCTTGAGGCCCGGGCAGCTACTACTTCTTACACCGTGGGCCCGGGTGTCTGCCGCTATGTCGGAATCGGAAAGCGTGGCGGTTGAAAACAACGTGAAAAATGTGAGTAAAAAGCGCCGTGACTATCGCAAGCGTTGCAGCGTTCGCGTGTTCGGCGCCATCAATGATGCGTGGCGCACTGACAGAGCAGCGGAGCGGAAGCCGCCCGGCCGGCGGCGCGCAGTTCTCGCGAGTCGTGTTAGGACTAGATCACGTTAAAAACAATGGCAAAAGGGTCTATGCGCGGGCTGCATTCCTAGGCCTAGCGCGTAGTCGCCGTCCGTACTCGCCTTGCCGTGCTGTGTCGCTCGTTACGCGGACTGTGTTTCTGTCTGGCATTTGTTTGGCGAGCCGTCTGATAAGAACACGGCCAACGGTCCCGCTCGCTTCTCTACTTGAGCTGCCAAAGCGCTGCGGAACTGGAAAACGGGCCTACATCAACCGCCTGTTGTCAGCGTGATGCAGGTAGTGCGACGATATATAGCGTAACTTCCGCAATTACACTTTGCGATTTGTCGACGGTCGATCGCCCAGGTCAACCGCACGAGCATGTTAAGACGGCAGTGCTAAATCGAACTGCGTTTATCTGCTGCTCAAGATTCTTTTGTTTGAATTGTCGTTGCGCTCACGCAGGACTCCACCGGTGGACTTGCATGCGCTATAACGTGTTGCCGAAAAAAAAAAAAAATGCTAGCGCAAATTTCGCAGTGAATGTTTATTTGACGTGTCTGCACATGCGCTGCTATATCCAGTAAGTTTATGCTGTCTGTCCGGTTCTGTGTGATGTTTAAACGGCGCTGTCAAGTAACGACAAATGTCCCCGGACATTGTATAGTTTTAGCTTCTGTGGTTGGTCGTGTCAAATACGAGTTGCGCTTTGGACAGAGCTCGCATAGCACGTTCCGGTGTTCGTGGAGCGGCGCGTTGTCGCTCGTTTTCCATAAGCACTGTCGATTTCGTCTGAGTGATAGCTGAGCGCACCCTGCGCTGCTGCATTTTTTCGCTTGAGTTTTGTTCACAAGTGCAGTCCGTACGTAGTTTGAAGAGCGCCGTTGTGTGAACGTGTGTCGCTTGAGCATACAACGCAGAAAGCCTGCAAACCTCTGGCATAAGTTTTTCTTGATTTCTCATTTGAAGCAACCAACCGCAGAAACATGAGGTACGTTCGATTCGCCTCCACCTCGTGAACCCGGAGTGCTGCAATTTGCCATTCGTTTCAAAAAAGGGGCAGGACTGGTTCACGAATTTCCTGCACCTCCTACGCTAACGGTAAGTTCGTTCGATTCACCTGCACCAATTGGAACTGGTTCATGGCTGTGCACGCGAAGTTCAGAAATTGTGCAGCGTGCATTCAGCGGTGCAGGTACAGCGCGACCCCCGAAACAAATGACGATGGGCCAACAAGGTGCAGACCTTATTTCTGTTGGCTTAATTTATACCGTGCAGCTAACACTGAACGATGGCGAACTGCACATGCAGGACAATTATGAGGCGCAAACATCTTGGCAAAACACACAGCGTTGGTAGAGGCAAATATGGCGCATACGCTCAAGTGCTGCGTCGTCTGCTCAGTTGCATGCACGGCTGCACCAAGCCGGCTACCATCAGCGTAGGAGGTGCACGAAAATCGTGAACCAGTGCTGCACCTTTTGAAACGAATGACAGGACTCAGAGGTCGTCGATGCTGCACCACTGAAACGAATGGCAAAGTGCAGCACCCCGTGAACTGGTTCTCGTGGTGCAGGCGAATCGAACGGACCTGGTGCCGGCTTGGAGCAGCCGCGCGTGCAGCTGAGCAGACAACGCAGCACTTAGGCATAGGTGCCGTACCCGCCTCTGCTAACAGCCAAGATGTTTGCGCCTCATAAACTGTTCACATGTGCGGTTCGCCATCGCTCAGTGTTAGTTGAATGGTGTAAATTACGCAAGCAGAAATGAGGCCTGCACCGCTTAACTCACGCTGCACAATTTCTGAACCTCGCGTGCACAGTCGTGAACCGGTTACAATTGGTGCAAGTGAATCGAACGGACCTTTAGAAACCATGCTACACAAGATCCGGGGCCCTTTGAAGTTATGCCGTTTTAACCTCACAGAACGAGGCCGCCGTGAAATAGACATATCCCCATTTGCAAACAGTGTGATGTCACTGCGAGCACCGCACCCACCATTCCCTCTCTCGGCACCGGGGTTGGTTGGCCAGAAAGTTCCCTCGATGGGATATTTCTTCATAGCAGGGCTGCGTGTGTCTTCATTCGTCCGACAGAAATTTAGGCGAATTTTTGTTTTCTAAAGCCACTATTAGGGAGGGTCACTGCACGATTCTGTTAGGTTAGCAGTGCGACGATTTGCTCGTCGTAGATGGCAGCCATTAAAAAATATTGTTTGCTCTTCAAAAGCGAACATTCTGCATGTTGACAAGTGACGAATGCTTTGAGCATTATTGGCACGGTATGGACGTAAACGTACTCAATTTTCCTCACGACATGTGCACCGCTCTTTTAAACGAGGCACATAATTGGTGGCAGCATGGTTTTGAGCTGCCGTGCGAGAGGTCACGAACAAGATTCTCACTCACGTGGCCAAATTCTGATCGAAGATGAAGGAACCCTGCCATCCTGGAAAGCGAACCGAACTGGAGGAGAAGGTTAATACTCGAGTCGTGGCACAGAGGGACAGCCCATAACATCAACTGCTCTCTTGGAACCCTTCCCCCAGTGTATACACAGGGACTGCGCTCCACGGCAAAGCAAGAGAGAGAGAGAGAGAGAGGGTCATTATCCACCCGCGAGTGCTTTGAAGATGCCGCTGCTACGTAGTCTCCGCAATCACCCCTGAAGAAGGAATCAAGTCGGTTTCGAAACGCCTGGTTTCTTCAAAACTTTTGGTTGGAGTCTAAATCATCTCCCAGAAGCTGAGATGCACCCACTCGCAGATGATCGCTTGAAATGCACACAGTACCTTGACTAAAATGTCGAATCTTGAAGTTTCGTCGACAATGGGTTGCGGCCACTGGCCTACAAAAAGTGGAAATGTTTTCGCAAGGAAGACGCATCATTATTCACACTGCACACCACACACAATTTACCCACTTTCACCGTCTGTAAAGGTGAACAAATATTGCAGGATGCCTTTCAATGCACTCTACACGCCACAATCAACACTGCTCAATTTTACAGGATGACGCCGCTGTTCTTCACACAGGCCACCACGTATGTTCACCTCTTCAAAGTAAACAGCCAGCCAGCATGGCAAATATTTCATCGCGCAGTTTACCACAAAGCCATATGTTCTCTGGCACATACTACAGCTAATGTCGCCACTGTAACATGAAGTTTATGCTTTCAACGAGAAAAAAAAAACTCCCCAAACACCCCATGACTGTACTGTGCTAAGCCACCAGTGGGGGTATTTTGCCAGCCATACCTTGCATGTGTGCCAGTGACGTCATGCTGTGAAGTCGTACCCCCGAAGAGGTCTATTAAGTGACTCATGGGCGTCACTAAAAATTATTTGTTGTGTGTGCACGTGTGTGTGTGTTGGAAGGGGGGGGGGGCAAAGCTTCTGTATGTTTGTATAGTGGTGTGCATACACTTTCATAATGTCCTCAAAATGTGGTGGGGGGTTGAATCCTCGGACAACCTCCCCTGGTTGCATAGCTGTTATTGCTGTAGCAGTAATGGCGTATCCTCTTACTCAACCGGATAGGCACTGTTGAAGTTGACTCATATGCGAGGCACAGTTTACCGCATCCTTTCTTCAGTGTTTGACGGCAAGTGCCTTGTGCACTGATTGAACGTTGACCGCTGTCTCTTACAGCTTGCGCTCGAAGGATATGGTCTTTTACAATGAAAGATTTTGTGGGAACACAACAGCCGATCTTAGTGATGTCCCCCCCCCCGCGAATGTTCATAACCACTTTGTCACACACAGTAAGATATCAGAGACCGGGTCCGAGCTAGTTGGAACAGCTATATTATAAAAACGGGAAGATGACACACATCCAATTGATATTTAATGCTATGCTGCAGAAACACGCCATAAGTGAAGAGAGTACATATATGTCGCAATAAATATCAATATCCAGAATAGAGCAGTATTTAAAACCAGGCCCTCAGCATGGAAGTTACCGCAGATGCACACCTGAGCTTGAAACTCGTTTGCAGAAAGAGTCTATACATGCATCAGTCAGGTGAAGTAACGCATCTTCAGGTGTACTGTGGCATAGCAGAAGAATAAAATAACACTGGTTGTTACACTAATGTTCATTGCGTAACAAATAAGGGAGGTAAAGCTTCCCACTCGTTACAAAGGGCTGCAGTACCAGGGTGTCTACCAACCTGGAAAAGTCGGGGAATTTCTGAAAAAGCTGGCCAGGTCATGGAAGCTAACAGCAGTTCTGTGTGACCATAAACAAAAAAAAGCATTACCTTTGTTCAAAGCTTTTAAAAAGTCTCTCACCTGCAACTACAGTGAGCTGCTAGAAGGCACGTGAAAAAAAAAAAAAAAGACAGTGCATAACTCTTGCTTCTTATCTTAGTGTAAAGGATACACTGACCCATAGTACACAATGTTTACTGACCTTTCAGCACCTTATATGCGAGGGAGCCTTGTTCACAGTAAAAGCCTTAAGGAAAGCATAGTGTACTGAGGCACGCCTAAATACGGGACGTAAGCAGTGAGAGTACATCATCAGAAGTGTTCCATCGCTCCTGTTCAGCATACGTACAGTTTGTATTTGGATTTCAGGTTCAGGCATGGTGCAGGCTTCTGTTAACTGCAGAGCATTTTATAGTCGCACCTACTCGCAAATCCGCCGTCAGCGATGGTGTGTACACCCCAATGTGCATGTTCGAGTCTCGTGCCGTCGCTCCCCCCACTCTCTCGCCTCGCAAGGCCGGCAGCGTCTGCAAGTAAAAACCTACTGCTCGCGCTGCACGACTGTTCACTAACCACCCCGTAGGCACTGGATCGGAATGTGGCTATTATAGAAAAAGAGATTATACTCCAGTGGCAGAACCGGCCAGGCTCTCGTGTCCTTATTTTACACGGATGCCGCAAGATGCCACCAGTTCTCAGTTTCCTAGCAGCTATGCCTACACTGTCAGACTGTCGCAGGCTTCTTCAAATTTTCATCTGCAGTTACTTTCAACTTATGTGTTTGATGCCTGGTTCTTTCGAACATGGAATAGCCAACTTGCTCTTTTCCTGCCATAGGGATTTTATTTTGGCTAGATATACATGTTTTTTCACATTTACCGCACGCGCTCTGAACATGCTAAGTGCGTCTGGTAAATGTGTTTACTTATATGGAGTGCCTGTTTCTTTTTTTTTTTAATCACTCGAGGTTTTGGTTATGGTGCACAGAGTTTTTTATGCAGACGTGGGAGTCATGGAATTTGCTTTTAATTATCATGGAAAACCTGGAAAAGTCGGGGAATTTAGAAATATCCCTGAGTACCCTCTCTTCAGCTGTGGTGACCACATCGGCGTACACAACTAATTTTTTTACTTAAGAGAGCAAGGTACATTTGACATTCTGTGCAGTTAACCTCAGTCCGGTGTGTATGACTGAAAGCTTTCGTGACGGCAGCTCGAAGTACTGTGCTCTAGAACTAATGTCAAAAGTATTACTTTTCTCGGAATGAGTGCAACTAAAAACTAGTTGCGCACACATTTTGGAGCCCATGCTTTCATTCCTTTGATGTCAAAATGAAACATGACTGGCTAATTAAAGTTACATACTAATTAAAATTATTGAAGCTGACACTAAAGCACGTTGCTTCAATTTTTCCTTGGGATGTAATATTAAGTGCCTTGGAATTATGGTATGTGAATTCATTTGTAGATAGTGCATCTTAATTTTCACCCGAAGGAAACAATTTTTCATCATCAGCATTAAAAGTGCCCATAATGCCTGACAGATGTGTTGCAGGTACTTTGAAGAGTGATTAAAGGAGCACTGGAAATGTTTGCGTTGTGTGACAACCTGCTTTGGCACAGTGCAGAACAGTGCTTGTGCCATAAATGCTAGACAGAATGGGCTCAGTGCACTGGATCTTTTCAGGCAGCAGAAGAGAAAGCCCCTCCCGAGGACAAGCAAGAGGACGGCAACTCTGCTGAGGAGAGCAGTGACGACGAGGAGCCAAAGCGTGAGTGCTATGCTAACGCTACATCAGATGTTACCGCAAGGTTCGAGACAACGCAGAAGCGTGAGTTGCTAATCTTAACGGAAGAGGCTAGTGTTGCAACATTTTTTTTTACTGTGTGGCACGCATATTACCGTATATTAGGGTGTTTTTCTTCTGCTGTTTCTTCTCTGAGAAATGTTGGTACTGACTCCAGTGCAAACACCTGAGATTAGCATTAAACACACGAGGGCGCGCTTGGGAAATCGCTCAATCAGACACCGTGGAAAGCAAACCGAAAATGAATTTCCGCTATTAAATGCTACTACATGATAGTTGCAAGAAAGGTTCCTTGCAGCTCTAATTGGGTCATTGCTACACATGTAGCAGTGCGTATCATCAGTGGAGTTGGAGCACTATCTGTGTGACCGTTGTCCTTTCCAGTTTACTGCGCTGTTTTACATGTTTATAGTTGCTGTGAGTTCTCTTTTGCCTGTCGCAGTACCACCCACAGTAAATTAATAGCAGTCACTGCTGTATCGAAGGTGACCATCGGTAAACAAAGTGGATGTAAATATTAGAGAACAGTTTTGGTGTAAGATATTTAATGAAACAATTCATTGATTTCACTACAGGGGCGAAGCCCGTCATTGATAAAGAAATCGTTCAATAATCATGGGTGCAACAGTTGCACCAATTGTGCCAATTTGATACGATTCCCAATTCTTGTGCAGAACTGCGCCACAACCATGAAATTTGCTGAAATTGCGCCAAAATGCCCAACTAACCTTGAAATTTTCTCCGCACCTGTAATTTCAGCAAGAAGTGGAGACTACATTGACCACCTGCGGTTTGTGTCATCAATCAAAGCGCGCAGACCCTAAGCCACATTGCAAGATACACTTTTTCGGTGAAGACTCGCGAGGCGCAGTCAACCAAATAAAGCAAGAACGCTGCGCGCCCATCGGTCCGCTAACCGCTGTGGATTCCTATCGGTAGGACGACAGAACTTCAAGACAAAGATGTGTTGCTGTAGCCACCAACGCAACGCTGGAAATATAAGTTTCCTAGCCTGAAAGTGCGGTTATGGTTTCTCGGGAATCAGAGCTGAAAGCGTATGCCCCCATTTTGCATGCGCGAACAAGCTAGACAGGATGTGAACACACCGGCGTTGCAAGCGGCCATGGTGGTGGCCTTAGCAGTGCCACGTAAAACTTTTTTTTTTTTTTTTCGTCTTGAAGTTGCTTTGCCCGGCCACGGTCCTGGCGATAGATGTGTGGTGCCGTTGCTGGGCCAATGGGCTTGCGCTGCTGTTCTTTATTTAGTCGAATGTGTCTTGCAAGCGAGCCAAAGTGGCGCATCACACTGGGAAAGAAAATAAAATGTTGGAGGGGAAGGCTGTAATGGTTCGAGATTTCTTGGCTTTGGTTCTAACTCGTGGAGAGAATGCTGCTTAAGCCACCTTTGCCGTAGTACACCGGTGTCATGTGAAAAAACTTAGGAAGGGGCTAATGGCATTAGTCACGGGACCCTGCACATTTTTAAAAATTACTTATGCATATTGTCATGGGGTCGTGACGTGGCCGAAGACAGGAGACTTCGTGTTAGGATTTAACTGTTTATTTGGGCGAACATGTGCCGGTAAACTGAAAGTCCAATTACAGCAGCAGTCTCGCACAGATAGCAGTCTCGGACTGATAGCGGCGAACGGAGCGTCGGCCTTCGATCAACAACTGACAAGCGGCGAAGCGCGTCGGCATTTATACTCTTGCCGTCGAATGTTCTAGCGTTATCGCTGGCGGTGGCGTAGCTTCCAGAACAATCTGTACCGTTCGCACAGTGGGCGTGATCTTATCGAAATGATCTACTACAGTCCGGAACCTTCTAGAAAACTGCAGGCGCGGTTTGCGCTGAGAATCGTGCGGTGTTTTCGGACGATAACAAAAACTTGGGAAATGGAACGTGGCATTGCCCCCCTCTGAAAAAAGGCATCGTCCCGATGCTTTAACTAAAGATGAAAGTACAATAATAATGCAAGAAAGTACAATGAATAAATTACGATACAACAATAATACAAAAAAACACTAGTTCAGCTTGTTAACGCGCATGAAACGGCTTGAGGCGCGCGACATGGACGACTTCAGGTCGCGATCGGCGTCGTTGAGAGTTCGTGATGCCGTCGGGGACAACCTCGTAATCAAGTGGGCCGAGCCGTCGAACCACCCTGTACGGTCCGAAGTACCGTCGCAGAAGCTTTTCACTTAGTCCACGTCGGCGTATCGGCGTCCACACCCAAACACGTTCACCGGGCTGGTATTCCACGAAGTGCCGTCGTAGGTTGTAACGGTGGCTGTCGGTCGTCTGTTGATTCTTGATACGGAGACGCGCAAGTTGTCGGGCTTCTTCGGCGCGTTGAAGGTACTCGCTCACATCGAGGTTTTCTTCGTCGGTGACGTTGGGTAACATGGCATCGAGCGTCGTTGCCGGGCTCCTTCCGTAGACCAATTTGTATGGCGATATCTGCGTCGTCTCCTGCACCGCCGTGTTGTATGCGAAGGTCACATAGGGCAGAATGGCGTCCCACGTCTTGTGTTCAACATCGACGTACATTGACAGAATGTCGGCGATCGTCTTGTTAAGCCGCTCGGTGAGGCCGTTGGTCTGTGGGTGGTACGCTGTCGTCCGGCGGTGGTTTGTTTGGCTGTATGCCAAGATTGCTTGAGTTAAGTCGGCAGTGAATGCCGTTCCTCTGTCGGTGATAAGGACCTCTGGGGCGCCATGACGTAGGACGATATTTTCGACGAAGAATTTAGCTACTTCGGATGCACTGCCTTTTGGCAGGGCTTTTGTCTCGGCGTAGCGGGTGAGGTAGTCGGTAGCTACCACGATCGACTTGTTTCCGAAAGCCGACGTCGGGAACGGCCCCAGTAGGTCCATACCAATCTGCTGGAAAGGTCGGCAAGGTGGATCAATTGGCTGCAGAAGTCCCGCTGGCCTTGTCGGCGGTGTCTTGCGTCGCTGACAGTCCCGGCATGTTCTCACATAACGAGTGACGTCGGTGGTAAGACGTGGCCAGTAGTACCTTTCTTGTATCCTCGCGAGCGTGCGAGAAACACCGAGGTGCCCTGCCGTCGGATCATCGTGAAGGGCCTGCAGGAGTTCTGGTCGCAGAGCTGAAGGCACCACAAGAAGGTACTTAGCTCGAAGCGGTGAAAAGTTTTTCTTTTGTAGAAGACCGTTTCGTAGAAAGAACGACGCAAGTGCGCGCTTGAATATCTTCGGGACTTCGGCGGTCCTGCCTTCGAGGTATTCTATTAGGGCCTTAAGTTCCGGGTCGGCCCTCTGTCATTCAGCGAAGTCGTCGGTAGTTATCGTTCCTAAGAAGTAGTCGTCATCCGGGTCGTCGGGTAGCGGTTGGTCGACAGGCGCACGAGAGAGACAGTCGGCGTCGGAGTGTTTTTTGCAGGACTTGTAAATGACAGTAATGTCATATTCTTGAAGTCTCAGGCTCCATCGTGCTAGGCGACCTGAGGGGTCCTTCAAGGTGGCTAGCCAACACAATGCGTGGTGGTCGCTCACAACTTTGAAGGGCCTGCCGTAGAGGTAGGGGCGAAATTTCGACGTAGCCCAGATGATGGCGAGGCACTCCTTTTCTGTTGTGGAATAATTTGCTTCTGCTTTGGATAGCGATCGGCTGGCGTAACTAATAACCCTTTCAAGTCCGTCAGCCCTCTGCACAAGAACGGCGCCAAGACCTACGCTGCTTGCGTCAGTATGTATTTCTGTCTCGGTGAATTCGTCGAAATGGGCAAGTAATGGAGGCGTCTGGAGGCGATGTTTAAGCTCCTGGAAAGCGTGTTCCTGCGGCGTTTCCCACTTAAACTCCACGTCGGCCTTGGTAAGGTCAGTGAGAGGATCGGCGATGCGGGCGAAGTTTTTCACGAACCGCCTATAATAGGCACACAGGCCCAGAAATCGGCGCACGGCTTTCTTGTCAGTGGGCGGCGGGAAGTCGGCGATGGCGGCTGTTTTCCGTGGATCGGGACGAACTCCAGACTTGCTGATAACGTGCCCCAGAAACAAGAGCTCCTCATACGCAAATCTGCACTTTTCTGGCTTCAGTGTGAGTCCGGAAGTCTTGATGGCTTGAAGTACAGCTTCAAGGCGCCGAAGATGCTCGTCGAAACTCGAGGAAAACACGACGACGTCATCCAAGTACACAAGGCAAGTCTGCCACTTCAATCCTGCCAGTACTGTATCCATAACGCGTTGAAACGTTGCAGGCACTGAGCAAAGGCCGAAGGGCATCACCTTAAACTCGAAGAGGCCGTCCGGTGTTATGAACGCCGTCTTCTCTCGGTCTCTTTCGTCGACTTCGATTTGCCAATAGCCAGTCTTAAGGTCCATTGACGAAAAGTACTTGGTGTTATGGAGCCGATCAAGTGCGTCGTCTATTCGTGGGAGGGGATACACGTCCTTTCTTGTGATTTTGTTCAGGCGGCGATAATCGACGCAGAAACGTAGGGTCCCATCCTTTTTCTTCACTAACACCACGGGGGATGCCCATGGACTCTTGGACGGCTGGATAATGTCATCCCGCAGCATTTCATCAACTTGTCTCTTCATGGCCTCACGTTCTCGCGTTGAAACCCTGTACGGACTCTGACGGAGTGGTCTGGCATTTTCTTCGGTTATGATGCGATGTTTCGTTGACGACGACAAGCAATCTTCGTATTGCAGGAGCAGAGCCTTGAGCTGTTCTTGCTTATCGTTCGGAAGTCTGGGATTGACGTCGAAAGCTATGGGAGGGGCTTGGTTCCTCTGAGCAGGTTCCGCAGAATCGGCGAGGGCGAAAGCACTGGTGGCTTCGACAATTTCTTCGATGTATGCGACCGTTGTTCCTTTGTTCACATGTTTGTACTCATTGCTGAAATTCGTGAGCAAAACCGTTGCTTTGCCTCCCCGCAGCTCTGCAATTCCTCTTGCGACGCAAATATTTCGGTTGACCAACAGATGCTGACTGC